TTCAATAGTAGCAATCACTTTTACAACCATGTAGTATACCTCCCCGGCACGTTTTTAGCGCATTTCCACAAAAATAAAAAAAAAATGCGCTATTGTGGCCACTTTGTCCGTCCGTCCGTCCGCTAACTTTGCGACGCTACTAGTTTTTTATCTTAAGAGCTATTGTTCTACTTTTTTCGCTATTTGGTTCGTTATGGTGTCGAGTCTTGTACCAAGGAAGGAATTTTTTCTGTACCGCTTACAAAAAAGTTATTGTAAAAAAAACAAAAAACCGTTTTTTACATGTTCCATAATTTTACACTTTTGCCGTTTATTAACGATCCTAGAGTTCGTTTATAATTTTGCATTGCTATCTGTCGCCTGCCGGTTGGTCTCTCCGTCTGTTCCTTTGTCTGTCTGTCCATCTATCTGTCCGTGTGAACGATAACTTTGTTTAGAATGTTCGATCGCTTTTACATCTCCGTTAGTTATGAACTGAATTGCATGAAATTCAATATGGGCATAGATTTAGCCATATAATACGCAATGCCAAAAGTTGGATCGAATCGATTCAAAATTCACAGTGCCCTTTTCGCATCTCGACCATTTTATAAACCGAATTGCAAACTTTTTTACTTATAAAAGTATTTGAATGAAATTTGATACATAGGCACTTGGAATAAAGGAAAATCAAACGCCAATTTCAAAATTTGGTGTTGCGCATGCGCAGTGCCAACTTTTTTATTTATGGAAGAATTTAAACGAAATTTGATACATAGGCACTTGGGATAAAGGAAAATCAAACGCCAATTTCAAAAATTGGTTTTGCGCATGCGCAGTGCCAACTTTTTTTATTTATGGAAGAATTTAAACGAAATTTGATACATAGGCACTTGGGATAAAGGAAAATCAAACGCCAATTTCAAAATTTTGTTTTGCGCATGCGCAGTGCCAACTTTTTTATTTATGGAAGAATTTAAACGAAATTTGATACATAAGCACTTCGAATAAAGGAAAATCAAACGCAAATTTCAAAATTTGGTTTTGCGCATGCGCAGTGCCAACTTTTTTTATTTATGGAAGAATTTAAACGAAATTTGATACATAGGCACTTGGGATAAAGGTAAATCAAACGCCAATTTCAAAATTTGGTTTTGCGCATGCGCAGTGCCAACTTTTTATTTATGGAAGAATTTAAATGAAATGTGATACATAGGCACTTGGAATAAAGGAAAATCTAGCGCCAGTTTCAAAATTTTATTTTGCGCATGCGCCGTGCCAACTTTTTATCTATGGAACTATTTAAGTGAAATTTGATACTTAGGCGCTTGGAACAAAGGAAAATCTTAGTTTATTAGTTAGTTATAGTAAATTAGTTTTAAAATTTAGGTTTGCGCATGCGCAGTTCCAACTTTCTTATTTATAAAAGCATTGAAATGAAATTCTTCTCATAAACTGAAATTGAAGTAGCACGTCAACAATGGATTGCCCATGTGCAACGCTATCTTTCATATTTGTGGCCGGTTTTTTACGATTTTAACAGAAGTTGCATCTTACAAATGGGAAATGAATGCAAGTGGAAATGCGCTTTATGTAAATCGTTTACGATTACTTTTTAACTTGTTTTTCTTAAGGTCGGCAAAACTATTTGTAGAAATTATAAAATTAACCCACGACCTCTCGATGGTCGGTTGCAGGCGTCCGATACTGTTATTCAATCTTAATTGAACTCCAACTTCAATTACGCACGCATTGCTCGTACCATTATCGGTAATTAAAACGATTAATTTCGATACTAACGGAATTTTAAGTAGTGCAGTTGCCCCAATTTACTTCTATCGCTATGACGATGATTCAATGGCCTTGTTGTTTAAATTGTTGAATCACTTGCATGCATTTTTTGAGTGGTTATCGTCGAAAGATCTCGGCATTAAAATAACTTTCCCATAAAGGAATTCGTTATAAAAACCTATTTCCGTGTTTCCAAATTTGTCTTTAATAAATAACCACATTCAAAAGGTATGGCGGTGCTGACATACCTGTACGTAATTAAAACGGCTTTTAACGTCCAATGAGCCGTGTGAAATTTGCCAGAAATTACCAAAAAATAATATCCTCTTCGTATATTTTGTCGATTTCCACAAAAAAAAAACTGTCAACACACCAAACTTGTAACAGGTCCACTCTTAAATCAACCAAATGGGTATTCCGATTTAGAATATTAAATTACCTACACTTACATCCCGTGTATGTAATAACACACTGTACTGCAATATAAGTGAAGCCTCATTTTTTGCAAATACTTTTCTCTTCTCTAATTGCAGGGTAATTTAATATCAATCAGGAAGAAACTTGAATGGCAATGTGGTGTCCAAATGGATTCGCTAAACAAAACATTTCTGCTAGAAAATAGCTTCACTTTCTCCCAGGTCGAGATTAAAGCATAATAAGGATGCCCGCCCCCGCAAATTAAATTTTGTTCCATCTCAATTCAAACACACATTATCGAAAGTATTTTGAGTGTACTTTTCCGCCGGTAATGACATACTCGAGTACACTTTCTTGTTCCTAATTACACAGGTGGCCTAAAATAATTTTGTATGTTTCGTAGAGTAAATGCTATTTAGTCATCGTGTCGGCTGAAGGAACACGTCCAACACATGTCGTACATTTAAAATATGTTAACCCAATTCACAACCTACAACATGTTCACAAGACGTAAGTATGTGCAAAAATTCAGTGCTCCGATCTTATCATATAAATGACCTAAAACTACACAGATTGTGTACAAATTAGATTCATTGGTGGTTTGGGGTGTGCCTCATGGTAACATACACGGGCCCTTCTTTTTTATTACGTAATATGCCAGTCATATCCAGGCATCTTCCGCCAAGCCGTACAAAAGTTGGCAATCTCATCGTTTATCGATTGACTAATCTCTTAACTGTTAATCTATAAATACTTAAAAGTATTTGTATTTGCTTTTTGTCGTTATCGAGTACTCGATCAAAAGGCAGCAGACAATTGGTTTACGGACGGTTACGTAATTGTAGCCTTGAATTTCGTTGGCGAATCTTATTTTTTAAGGCACGGGAGTTAACTCAGAAAATGCAGTTCCGATCTGCTTGTTGAATTCGCGAATGCGTTCCTTACAATTAAATCTTATTCCGCTTGAGCTCCTCTTAAAGCGTCATTGTAAACATTGTGCTCGGTCGTCAAAGAAAGGAGCGCTTCATTTCTTTGTACAAGTCCAAAAAAAGTTCCGTTTGGGAAATGACGTCATCGTGACCTTATGCTCGTCTGGAAATATTTCAGGGCCGTTTATTTATTTACCTGGTCGCTAGTTTACAATGAAGTATGGAAAAATGCAGCGTCACATCCCATCATTTATATGTAGGTAGATTTGGCAAAAAACCAAATGGATCTAATTCAGCCTGATAAATTTGAGAGTACAATCTGCGAAAGTGTATAAATAGTTCATTCAGGACTAAATTATAGCTTACAGCATTCCATTGGTATCGTGTCTGTTGCAATTATAAAGATAGTTAACCTAGTTCAATATTGTTGGTATTTTTATTATTTGCAATTGCATATGATTTTGACGTTGGCCTTGTCTTTTTGTTTTGCGAACAGCTATACACACGTGTAAGATTGGTTGCCGACTTCGCAATAACATTTTTTTTTTCAAAAACAGAAATACATTAATTGTTTGTCCGCCTGTGGAATGAGATCTCAACACCCTTTACGAAGAGCCAATAACAAAGCACCGAAAAACGATTTTCCCAAATAACTTTCAGACTAAACTGTATTTTCTCCCTTTCTCTCGATAAAACGGCGCAACGCATATTATATGCATGGAGCCAACCTGAGTGACGGGTGTACCAATTTTCATCAGGTATGTCCCCCAACATCCATATTTTAGAAACTGTGGGAAAGGCCAGAGAACAAGCGGTCTTGAAGCGATATTTTTTTGTTTTTGAATCAATATTAATTTTGTTAGTGTTAAATTTGTGAGAAAAGAATTTGACACTATCTGTTTAGATTAAAATATACAGGGTGTTCCATTTAAAACAATGAGGGTAGGTCCGATAATTTTTTTACTTGACCCCATGACATAAACGGCAGATTAATCAACAATTATTATAAAGAAATTTTTGTAATAAACATTTTTCTGTATCTCTTAACTAAGAATATAGAGGGTCATTCTGAAATTATCAATTTTTTGATTTTACCTTTTTAAGTGTGACCCAAAAAGAGATCACACCTATCTTACTTTTTCATTTTTATTTATTTTTTACATTTTCGGAGATATCCTATAAACGTATCTAAAATGGAACACCCTGTATATAAGGAAATCTATTTGAACTAAAGAAGTGGTGAAATTACGCACCGACAGTAGAGGGTAATGGTAAGTATTGAATTCAGAATGAATATTTCCGCCCCCTTTATAAAGTGTGGGTGATGAGATCTTGATCTTTTGATGGAAAGATTAAAAAAGGTTTGGGTCGGCTCAATTAATTGATTAATACAATCGTTAAGTTAATTGACTTGCGGTGGTAAACACAAGAAAGCAATCTTGCCTTATTAGAATTTCTTCACAGCGCATCCGTCGTAATGATGAACCCTTATGTCATTCATTCATGTAGCGATCAATTAACTCTTTGAACCCAATTAGTACTTGTCACTAAGCTGTTGGGGAATTTCTTAATTCTAGCTCCAACACAACTAATTTGTCATAATTATCCTCATGCATATTTTGTTCAATTAATCTACTACCTACCTTCAATAGACATAAAAATGAAAATTGCCTAATTAAGTATAATTAGATTATTTGCCTCTTTATTGATTGCTAGGTACGATTTACAGACTACTTTTTTGTGGTTAAAAAAACTGATTTACTGTGCCTCAATTACAAATGACCTTAAGCAGTAATCGGTTGTAATCATGTTTAGTGTTGTCGAGTACAATTTTTCTGGTTGTTGGTTTTTTAGATTACCAATTAATTGTTACCTTCATTTCAGGAAAGACTCTGTGCCAGACGTGCAGTAAAAAATGTTCGGGGGAGGTGCTGCGCGTACAAGACAAATACTTCCACACTCACTGCTTCAAGTGCAAGAAGTGCAGCAAGTCTTTGGCCCAAGGCGGCTTCTTCCAGAAGGACGGTACTTATTTTTGCACAAATTGCTATCAAAACACATTCGGCACGAAATGCGCCACTTGCCAGGAGTACGTGGAGGGGGAGGTGAGGTGTATGTTTTCAAAGGTCGAAAATTAAAGCGTTTTTTTCCAGGTTGTGACGGCGTTAGGAAAAACCTATCATCAAAAATGTTTCAAGTGTGCTCGATGTTGTCAGCCGTTTCCATCTGGAGAAAAGGTCACGTATACTGGAAAGGAAGTTTTATGTCAAAAGTGTGTTAAAATTCCTATTCGAACTAGCTCCTCACCTCAAGCTAGTCCCACTTCAAACCACCCCAATGGTAAATATTTTGTTCAATTTTTATGCACACGGAAAATGATGTTCCCCTTCCTCCTGTTACAGAATGTGCTGGCTGCCATGAAGAACTAAAAGAAGGTCAAGCACTGGTTGCTTTAGATCGTCAGTGGCACATATGGTGTTTCAAATGTGGTAAATGCGGGGTAGTTCTTCATGGCGAGTATATGGGACGCGATGGTGTGCCGTATTGCGAACGCGACTATCAGCATCAATTTGGCGTAAAATGCGCCTATTGTAGCCGATTTATCAGTGGGAAAGTTCTACAGGTGAGTAATGAGTTTGTATGAAATTCTCGTTTAATGCCATTTGCCTTAAGGCTGGTGACAATCATCATTTTCATCCGACTTGCGCGCGATGCACCAAGTGTGGTGACCCCTTCGGGGATGGAGAAGAAATGTATTTGCAAGGTGGCGCAATTTGGCACCCGCGATGTGGTCCGGGTCCAACTGAGAATGGTCAAGTATTAAACGGTTCGGCTGAGGCAAATGGGCATTTGACCGATTGCGAATCCCGAGGCGGGGATATGTCTGGACGAGAATTTGATAGGATGAGTAGTTCGGGCGTTAGTGAAATGCAGGTCATTATTTTCATTTTTTGTTTTTGGTGCTTTAATTGTTTGTATTTTTGGAGTTTTAGTTTTATTTTTGTGTTTGCATGATTATTTTGCAGTTTTCCATGCGTTCTCGTACCCCTAGCTTAAATGGTTCACTGTACAGCCCGACTAGCATGTCTAGAAAGGTTAGTGTTTTTTGTGTTCATTTTTCATTGCCAACATTACAACCCAAAGATCTTACTGACTGTCCATTTTTTCTTCAGCATTTTAGTTACCATCGAACCCCATCTCCGGGTTTAATACTGAGGGAGTACAAATCTGGAACATATGCAGACGACATATCTAGAATTTACACTTATAGTTACCTAACTGAAGAACCCGCGCAAGGATATCTTCGCAGGCCAATAGATCCATATGACAAAGCGCCAATTTCGCCACATTTTCATCGACCTAGCTGTTGGTTGCACTTTTTGCGTAATTCCTAATTTTGCCTCCGTTCTTTTAGCACAAAACTCTTTGAGGAGTAGTAAGGGGACTTACAAACAAGGTGCTAAACCCGGAATGAAAGTTCTAGTAGACTCCATTCGAAGTGAAACGCCTAGATCAAAATCGCCTCATATGAATAACGAAGAACCGATCGAGCTTGCACATTACCCCGCTGCTAAACCTCCCAATCCGAACGAAATGCCCAAGATAGAAAGAGACGACTTCCCCGCGCCACCTTATCCGTATACTGATCCTGGTAAGTACTACATGCCTGTCCATCTATTAGGACTAGCGCATTTTGAGGCTGATGTTGAAATTTCACTTCTTTTGATACCCATATGTCGATATCTACCATTTATGGTTTTTAAGTTATTTTGACTTTAAGAAAAAAATGGCGGATGCAGATGGCACCTTGATAATTGATTACTTGAAAACGGTTGTAGTCATGGCAACCTATTTTTATCAGTACATAGAGAATGAATAGGGATTTCTTTTAGTGTACTGAATGATCATGTTCTTACTATTCCATGAGATAGAGAATCGAAATGGGCATATTTTGACAATACATGTTCCTATAGCTATCTTTAACAGTTTCTGACTTATTCCCATTTTATTGAATTGACACTATTTTTTTCGGATTTTCTTTTTAGTAGTCGGCCATGATTCTATAACAATTGAATTTTAAACAAATCCAGTTAACATAAGTTTTTCAAAAATCGAAAAATGACTCGCAGTGGTTTCACCTATTTTGGAATTTAATCGTTATTTATGGTGAATTGGACAGAATCGCGGCACGTGCTTGCCATACATCATTCGAACACTGGAACGAAATTGTAAGAATTTTGGAAATATTGTACCCCCCAAATGCACTACAAACCGTTGAAGCACAAGTGATACAAAGCTCTACAAGAGAATATTTAAGAAAATGAATTGAATTGCAAATGCAAGATTAACAAAATAAATTCAATACAAAATATAAAAAACTTCATTGAAACATTTTTGGTATGGAATTGTTGCTAGAACAGATATCGCATTACCTCTCTTAATTTCCAGACTTATACGTTGTTTAAGTTCAGTTGAACGACTCTGTCTAGATTTTTCAAAAATTTCCGTCCTATATCCTTAACAAAAAACTTATTTATTAATGAAATATTTAGACTAGAATCAATGATATTAACGAATCCATTCCTTGATTTGTTTAAAATTTGATTGTTATAAAATCATGGCCAACTACTAAAAAGAAAATGCGAAAAAAATCGCATCAATTCCTAGATCAATTCAATAAAATGGGAATAAATCAGAAACTGTTAAAGATAGCTATAGGAACATGTATTATCAAAATATGCCAATTTCGATTCTTTATCTCATGCAATAGTAAGAACAGGGTCATTCCATTTAAAAAAACTGAGTTTATAGACTTTAAAGTTTCTTAAATTTGGATCTCCATAGGTGCGGTTGTACGCAACTTAACTTTTTTTTAAGTACACTAAAAGAAAGCCCTACTCATTCTCTATGCACTGATAAAAATGGGTTGCCATGACTACAACCGTTTTCAAGTAATCAATTATCAAGGTACCATTAGCACCCGCCATTTTTTTTCTTAAAGTCAAAATAACTTAAAAACCATAAATGGCAGATATCAACATATGGGTATCAAAAGTATTGAAATTTCACGTAGAATCCAAAAATGCAATAAAAAATAGGGGTTGCCATTTAAAATAACGAAGTTACTATCTACTTCCGGTGTTTCCGGAAGTGCGGCCATTTTGAAAATATTTTACACAGATTCGGCTTTCAGAGTAACTCCGAAGTACAAAATTTCAAAAACCTAGCTATTTTACTTTCCCAGAAACGTTTAACTTATTGCTCCCAAAAAAACACCCTGTATAGAAATTGCTCAGAGTGTCAAACTATAATTGATATTGTTAGAACGGAGAAAACGATGGTCTGACAGCTACAAGGGTGTTCCGGATTCAGATGAAGAAGACGAAGTTGACCATTCCAATCATGTTCAATTAAAAGACGAGCAGCTTAAAAAAGAAGAGCACGAGTTGAGTAAGATAGCTACGGGTATTGGTAAAGTGTTTCTGAAAAATGTGCACGAAAGAGAGAAGCTTAAGCAGTGGAAGGCTGCACATTTAGATCCTAGAAATGCGTCCAGGTAAGTTCAAAGGAATGGAAGGTCGGACTCTCACACTATTTCTAGAACTCCATCGGCTAGTAAGGAACCGCAATACAAGCTGAGATATGATTCGCCCGTCGGTGCTAGCCCGTCACGAAACACAGATCATCCGAAACCGTTTGACGAAGAAGACTTCGATAGGTCACTAAGTTGTAGATCATCGGTCGGCCGCTCTGTAGGACAAATTCCGAATTATAACGGTACGTATGATAATTGTTTGGGGTAGATTTTGATTTCGTGACAAAACTAATACTTGTCTTGGTTTTGTCGAAAATGTAGACGTAGTGTAAACGAGCGATCACATAATTTTAAAACTAACGTTATAAACATCATACACTTATTCTGTGACAAAATTTTAGCAACAATTGGCAGTTTAATTGGTTAAGGTGAGAAAGCATGCGAAATTTAAAATGTCAAAATTTGTATTCGCTTACTAATACAGCATGTTTGTAAGTGTGTGTTGTAATTAACTAATTAGAGATCTAAATTAATTCATTGTTTACGAACATTTTTTGTTGGGTAAGTTTAAAACCCCTATGGGCATCAGTTTACAATGTACCACATCTCTTGCGCATGAAATTATTTAAAGAAATTCTTCACTAGTTGAATTTTCTAACAAATAGGTATAGATTTAGTTTGTGGTATTCTACGTCAATAACTTCTATTGCACCATTGCTTTTGAAGCACCTTTTTCTACAAAGACATAGAGAGGCCATCCCTTTTTTTAATTGCAGTGCATAAAGTAGCCATTTTGTTGAATTGCTGAAAGTGGTACTTACAAAAAATTTGTGGCCTCTTCATGTCTTTTTGCTACCAGTGGGGTAATATAGATTTATATTTAATATCAGGTTTACATTTATTTCTGTCGATGAAAAAATAACTGAGTTGAAGTAGAAATTCTGCTGATTAAAATATCAGAAAATGACCGCCAATGATGTTAATTTATTGAAAACAACTGAAAATTCACAACACAAATTTAATTTCAAGGAATTTATTACACAAATTTTGATCAACACCTGAAATAAATCATGACACAAATAGGAAAAAAAAATCTGACATGAAAAATATCTGGGTCTCACAATGGGTTCGAATAAACACAATTAATTACAAAAATTAATTCCAAAACATTATGAAACAAAATCCTTCAAAGAATGAACAGCTTACAAAGTTGGTTTAGACATATTACCCCGCACTCAGGTGGTCAAAAAATAAGAAATCTTTTTTTTTTATTAATTGCGATATTCAAGCGAACTAAAACTGACTTGAAACACTCGTTGACAGCTTCAGGAAACTTCACTTGTTCTTGATAATACAGAATTAGATATCAAAACGGGCTTAATGAATTTGAAGAAAAATTTGAGTGAGTTTCTGCGCGGTAGAACACTTTTAATAAATGACCAATCTTGTAACTACTTTTTCCGTTAACCGACAAAACGCGTTAGGCTTTTCACACAGCTTTGGTTAACTTGCTTCTGCACAGATTTGTTACAAAAAATAACGAACTGCTTCTACAAAATAAATAGGGCTGACCACCACTTCCGCCATTAGACTCCTTCTTTACAAATTTTCAAATAAATTGCCAAGCACAACGGAACGCTCCAAATGAAATGTGAAATGTGCTAAATCACAAGATGGTGGTGGTCAATTCTGATCCCCAAAATGGAAAATTACACGACCAGGAAATGACTCATGCAGTAATTGAATTATGCCGCGGCTGTATGACAAGTCCTGTTGAAACCACGCCCATATCTTGCAATTTAGGTACCAAAAACTGGACTATCATGGCGCGACAACTACCACTTATTTCTTGGTGATTGAACTTTGTAGATTAGATGCTAGAAAGGAACAAAGTTAAATGACAAGGGGGCCGTGTCAACGTGAAAACACTTGAGCGCGTCAGATATTGTTAGTGTATATACCCCACGTATTTGTGATACTGTGGTTGGGTAAAAAAATTCCAACGAGCTCAAGAATGTCAAGGTTAATACCCCTCCCCCCCCCTTTATACGTCATCCCAAAATCGCCAGATTACTGAAATGTACACTTTTCAACATGTAGTCAGCCCACCTTACTTTAATCTGACACGCTTCAGTATTTCAAACTATAGATTTTTTTTACTATTTTGATGGGCAGATTCACTATCCTTAGGTGGAGATGCTCAGCAGGGTGTAAGGTATCCCTCTTTATGTTAATCTGCGGCGCTTGATTCCAAAATCCCCTATTGGCCCTCCCCTACCCAATCCTACAACACAATGGTGTCACTCAACAGTAATAATAGGCAGGTGACATGAGTGTAAGCTACAAATTTATTTTTATTTATTTTGCCTTTATCTTTGAGTGGGCGGGGTGTCAGCCGACGCTGCTCAACCAACCCAACCCACTATAAATTTACAAATATCCATGCCGAAACCCGAACCAGGGATAGCACCATAGTCCAGTTTCAAGGTTAAAGGTTTAGACAATTTCAGGTTTACTGGTTCTGTTGCGCAAAACCACTGGTAGCAAAATCGCCATGTTATATGAACTGTTTGTTTTCCTTACTTGTAGAATTATTGGCACCTCCTTCAAATTATGAACATAATAGAACCAATAAAATTATGTGGTTCAAGTTGCATTTTGATTCTCACATTTTTAGGTGTATTGATAGGTTGTTGTTAATGTCAATGTGGCTGGCTTCCTTATTTTACTGAATTGTACCTTTAAGTGTATTTTGTTTATTTCTATGTGCAGCTTTCTTCTATTACTTTTTTTTTTTTAATTTTGTGTGGTGTAGTAGTATCATCTTTACGGCACGTGCCAAGACCAGGATATGGATTAAAGTCGGCCACATTACCTGCTGGAAATGGTTATGTAAGTACTTGTCAATAAGAAAAACTATTTGAATGTACCCGTACATTCAAATGTCTTTATTTTACACACATACATCACACTGAGTAGGGCTGTAAGTTAGGGCTTTTTTTATTGCCTTTTATAACTTCATTCACAATGCATTTGTTATGCAGTTGTAAGTGCGCTACGTCACGTTCCTAAACCGGGCTATGGTTTGGCCCCTCGATCTCATACCTTCAGTTCTTCCGCCGGTAGCTATCCTCAAATTCCTGTAAGTTTTTACGAGTGTAATGCATTTCAACTTTCATGTTTAGTTAATCGATGCATGCTTCTATTTTTTTTTTCGTCATTTCACCAATAAAAGATTAAGATTGTGCACCTTTTCTAACTTAATTTTGATCCACGAGATGGGCCATTAGCATAGATTAAGAAATGTACTTCTAAATTCTTACACATTTTATTTATACCAGATATTGTCAATGCGCCCCCCTCCCCGTCATCTGTCAGCCAATTTTGCTTTACCATGTAATTGCGCAACTGTACTACCACTTTATAAATTTTACGTTTGGCTCATCTTGCATGGTTATTCTTTTTGAAAAAAGCACATCTTAGAATGTAATGCCACTTTTCATATTCATCACATTTTTGTTCAATTTTTTTTTATTTTAATAGAGTTTAAATCCACAGGGTGATTACTCGTTTAGCGGAATTGGAATTAAAACTCACAGTACAGATTTTAGCAGTGGAAAATCTGACAGTAAGTAATATTTGTTAATTCTTAGTAACTGTTATTTTTGTATATCCCCCGAAAAAATCTTTGTCCTTGCAGCTTTTTCTATAGCGATTTTCGTTTATCTTTGCCAGCTTTGCACGTAATCACTAATATGGCATCCTATACGTCACTCTTAAAACTGAATAGATTTAAAACAAATTCTAAACATTTTTTATGTAAAATAATTCTTTCTACAGTTTCCACCGGATCGATCACGGATGTCGAAAGGCGTGCATTGGTATGTAAATCAGACTCTTTTAACATGTATTCGTAAATGTTTAGCTTAGCATTAACAGCGCTTTTAAAATAATTGGTACAGTACAGTTTAAGAACAGATTTAACATAATTTTCCAATAGAACACCGAAATGCCAGTGTCATCGACGTACACAGGGGGACTAGGAGCGTTCCGGGGAGGGTACGCATCACAAGTGCGACGATCTCTACCAAACATGGCCCATACCATGTTGATCAACGAGCCGGCCAAAATTTATCCCTATCATCTACTCATGATAACTAACTATCGCTTGCCAGCCGATGTTGATAGATGCAATTTAGAGGTAAAACTATCAAATGCTGTTTTAGTATTTATACTGAAAATACTTGAACAAGACACAACATTCTTAATTTTGTAATTATTTTGGAAATAAGGTTGCGTTTTAATATATATTTTAGTAAAAATTATCCAGCTCAAATGACATTTTCATAGTTTCAGATGTGATTGTAAGTAAATATAAAAATATTGCTTGTGTGTAATGGTCCCTCAAAAATACCACCTAAACAAACACCTGCCGAGCCAGCTCAAATTAGTTTCCTTCTATTTTTAAATTTCAAATTGGTTCTAGCACACATTATGGGAACAAAAACCAAATACAAAAAGAAAAACTATGAGAAAAAAATTTAAGGGCTAACAATGCCTATTGATAAACACATGCCCTGCTTATCTCGCACATGGCGTTGTTATCCCAGAACCAATTAACTTTTTCGATCAACCTGCGGCAACCACCTGTAGTTTACACAACATTTCCCCCTTAAAATTGAACATAAAACATATTACATAATCGGCCCCCTTAGTTTTAGTCGGAAGTAATTTTCAGAAAAACTAAAACAGTGTTCCATATAAAACAAGAACTTAAATGGGAATATTATTTAACACGTTCTGTTACAGAGGCATCTATCCGACAAAGAATTTGAAGACATATTCCAATGCACAAGAAACGATTTCTATAGGATACCGCAGTGGCGTAGGAATGAAATAAAGCGCAGAGCTCGCCTATTTTAAATATGCCTATTATTGCAAATATTAGATACGCTTTAGTTTTATTTTGATAATAAGACAGCTATTTTAATAGAAAATGCTTACACATTTTCAAAAGATTCGAAATTTTACTGTGAGTTCGTTAATAGTTCCTGTTGTAAATAATGATTTTAATTAAATTTTGTAACCATTTACTTTCATTGTTGTTTCTACTATAGGATAGATTTTTTGCCATAACTGTTTATTTCTATGTGTGACCTAAAGACTTACAGTATAATTTTGCATTTCTTAACTAATGCATTACATAGAATATGTAATTTAGCTTATAAGCACCATGTGAATTTTAATGTAGAGGCACATCTCGAGGGGGTGCTTCTGTGGTAAAGTGATATTGTTACATTTAAAATGAGAGGATTTGCCTTCTTTTGCAGATTTCTCAGTGACAGAAATTTTTTATTAAATGAAATGACCAATCACTATTTGTGTTGTACTGATAACGTTGTCTTAAGTTGTGCAGGAATACAAAGGAAGGCGACTTTTCTCTATACTGTAGCGTAATAGTTGCAAGTTCTAATCAAAAGTTTAACAATAATAGAAAAGCTATATAAATTACAAAACTTTGCACCTATTTATTGCTAAAATCTAAATTGGGATTAGCTTTTTATAAAAACAAAACTTTTTTTGTGGTGTAGATTTGCTTTGTTTGTATTTTTGCTTAAGCTAGTCGAAGTAGTTTTCGTACCTACAACTGTTAATGTATTTCAATATTTTTTAATTATGTGGTTTATATTTTATTATTAGAAGTAAAAGATTTCATGTTATTAGTTTCTATAAAAGTATATTAAATTTATAATGTCTTAGTTCTGCCGAAGAAAACTTCAAGCTACCATGAATATATAAAAGAGTAGGTCTATAGGCATAATAATACCAAATCAAAATACTATTGTACATTCGTTAAAAGAAGAATATTTATTTATTTTAATGTTTAAGTTGAAAGCAAATTGTGTAGCTATAAAACTTTGTGAAACGAGCACAGCTGAATAAAAACTACTGCTATATTTCTTCCACTCGCTCAATTTTAATTCCACTCTTTGCAAATAATGAACTTTTGTTGTAAACAAAACCTCATTCAGCTGATAGTGCTGTATTAAAAATGTTGTGGCGTGCCCTCAATGTGTAGTTTAGGCACCAAAAAACTGCTGCAATGCAGGAAGCTGAATTAGTTAGGGGTTTTGGAGTCTGGTGGTGATCATTCTACAGTGCGAAGTATTTAGTGCAAGTGCTAGAGCAAAGGTTTAGTTACAATTGGTTTGGTTCTGTAAATTCTGTAAGTACATATTTTAGCACTTTTATGTTAGAAATGTTACACTGCACAAAATTTTGAATGCCATTGGTTAATAGTTGCTATAAGTAGTCTATACTGCATTCATTATAACATAGACCAAATACAAATATTTGGTCTATGATTATAAGAAGGTTGTAGATAGTGCTGTGCTTGATGATAAGTACACAAGAGAAATGTAAAACGGCACTAAAATATTGTAAAGTAGAAATATCCAGCACTATGAACAGAAATAAATCAAACGATTTCATGCTTGGGTCTTTAACATTAACAGCTAATGACAGTTTAGTTGACCCCAGAAACGTCAATCACTCGCTTTATTTTTCAGCCCAATACTCTTGTTTTATCCAATCATAGTGAAGGTCAAAGCTTTCTACCCGTACCTTCTTAAAATGAATAAGAGTATATAAATTCTTTAATAATAGTAACAATTTTTTTATTGCTCAACATGTATGCTCCATTTACAGGGCAAAAAGGCGTAATACACAGGGTGGTAAAATCTATATTGTGGGCATTCGGTCTAGTCCATAACTTTTGATTGAGACGTCCGATCGAAAAAGTACGAATTGTTTTGGATTCTACGCATCAAAATTAATACGAAAAAGTGTTTTCCTGAGAAATTTTGGTGCAGTCAATTTTTGGTAAAAAAGGAAGGTTATACACTGCCTTTTTTTGAGCCCCGAAAAAAAAATTGTCTCAGATCAACCCGGAAAAAAAATTTTCTTATAGAATGTGGCCTGTAGAATCCATAATTTCAAACAGTTCCAAGATTGGGCTACTAGTTCAAAAGTTACAGCCCTTTTAAGTTTTCTTTCGAAATTGGTTTCTAGCCCATAACTTTGATTGAGAAGTCTGATCGAAAAAGTACGAATTGTTTTGGATTCTACGCACCAAAATTAATAAGAAAAAGTGTTTTCCCGAGAAATTTTGGTGGTCGATTTTTGGTAAAAAAGGAAGGTAATACACTGCCTTTTTTTGAGCCCCGAAAAAAAAATTGTCTCAGATCGATCCGGAAAAAAAATTTTCTAATAGAATGTGGCCTGTAGAATCCATAATTTCAAACAGTTCCAAGATTGGGCTACTAGTTCAAAAGTTACAGCCCTTTGAATTTTTTTTCGAAATTGGTTTCTAGTCTATCACTTTTGATTGAGAAGTCTAATCGAAAAAGTACGAATTGTTTTGGATTCTACGCACCAAAATTAATACGAAAAAGTGTTTTCCCGAGAAATTTTGGTGCAGTCAATTTTTGGTAAAAAAGGAAGGTTATACACTGCCTTTTTTTGAGCTCTGCGGTGCACCACAAAAACATTTTTTGCTTCATTTTAAAGTACTCCTTTTTCGGAAATTAATTACCTACAATACAGTTTTTTTTTAAATTGCAGCTGATAATTAAAAGTAACAAAAGATACAATCCAGTTCTGTAGTAGTTGCTGAGGTCAAACGGACATTATTGAAATTTAACTTTCAATTGCAACACTTGATATTATTTTGCAGAATATTTGTTTTGATTTCCCACCATCAAGTTTTGTTTTTGGAGGATAAACAATAGGGATTCTAATATACATTCACTGCACTGTAACATCAATGACGAAGCCATAGATGAGACCGCAGGAAATAAAGGACTTTGACTCTGCAACAAAAGGCTGGATTAAGTCTGTTGAAGAGCAGGAAAATTACAGCAAGATCTGAAGGAGTGGTCGCTGAAAGAGAGTACTTTGAGAAATGCTATTATCACTTTTCAGTTTGCTAGTGGTGGACGGTGGTGGCAACCAAGGATTCAATATACAGGGTGATGCTGACGACCTAGATATCGTAAGTAAAGAGGATAGTGTCAGAAAGAATACAAATATGGCGCTCGGGATAATGAACCTGATAGACCATGATCTGAGCAAAAAGCCATCAAAGAGAGTGGTGGGGCCAGATGAAGGATGCTAACTGAAGCAATACAGCACAGCTGACAAACATCAGCGGATAGTCTGTTTCGGCATTACAGGAACTATGTGTATACCTGTCCTACAGCCCCAATGGAGGCATCCTGCCAAGATTAACATCAGGGGTCTGCATTAGCAGAAAACTAATGATGATGATGATTCTCGAAGAATTTTTGCAAGAAATGACCATTAACCCACGGACCTCTTATTTTTTTAAGAGGTAGCGCCACCAATGTTAAAATTGAGTTCATTTTGTTTCTGGTGATTTTCGCTAATTGCCTTCAGAAGAATGTTTTTATTTATTATACATTCACAAAATAATATAAATACGATCAGTATAATAGAGGAATATAATTAGCATTAGTAATTGTTATACAGGACTTTCCAAAACATGTGTCACTGTGGGAAGTAATATAGGTAGGTACATAAGGTTACTCCCTGTAGAATATATTGAGTGACTAGGTGCAAGTCTCCTTTAGTTGTTGGCAAGTAAGATAAACATATACCTACTGATTCATTAGAAAATGTCACACAGGTAAAAAGGATCTACCTGTATATACCTACAGCTTCTAATTAAATTAGGTCTAATTTTTATATAGAATGCGTTGTGCTATATTTAAACTCTAGTAAATAAGGTAATACAAAAAAGGAATGTATAAATTATTAATGTGTGTATTACTATAAACTTGCTAGGAATACAAAATGCTTCATTCTTTGAATTGACATCAATCCGCACGTTTATTTCTTCACGTATATCTTTTATCATTTTGGATGTAAATCCCTTTTTTTTAATAACAAATTAGCGCTAAGTAGGTACTTGTTGCGTTTAGAGAAACCCCAAATCAAGCCCCGGTTGAATAAATTATGCGATTTGTGAGGACGTTTAAGTGGAATTACATTGCAAAATGCAAACTCGTTATGAGCGCAAGGTATGAATTGTGACGAACTTCAATAATTGCACAGGAATAAAAGCGCAACTTTTCAAAAATGTTTTCATGTTATCTCGTCCCCTCAATAAATAATCCCCCGTAAACGGAAGAGTACCGGGATTTTCCCGCGTGTTTGATAGTGACTGTAAGCGCGGTGGGGGTAATCGTACCTTCCCCACTCCCATTTTCATTTATACAGCTTGAGCATGCTAACTGTATGTCCTAAATTTCAGTGGCGAGTCTAAAAAAGTAAAAAAAAAGTAGAAAAACACCTTGACATTAAAAAATAATAACCGCGGCAGTTAATTTAAGTGTTGGGGTAACTAAACAAATTGCTATATTATGAATTTTGAGGACTATGAAACCCTACCAACAAGTAATGTATTTACGCATATGACTGCGGGTGCTTTCGCCGGGGTAATGGAGCACTGCCTTATGTACCCCCTCGATTCAGTAAAGGTAACCTTTCTCCCTTATTCACGCTTTTATATTACATAAGATTCGAGATTCAACATCTGTCAGGACTGACATTAAGGTTAAGTACAGTATGGTAGGTTAGGATTTCAATTCTTCTCAATTTTACAGACGAGGATGCAATCGCTGCTGCCCTCAACGACCAGGGATGGGGTCAGTAGGACGTTGTTTAAGATGGTGCAGCAGGAGGGCATATTTCGGCCGGTTCGGGGTATGCCCGCGGTTGTAGTCGGTGCCGGACCAGCACACGCTTTCTACTTTAGCAGTTACGAATACCTGAAGGAGACGATGACTCGACATACAAGTACAACTAGATATCACACTGCAATTTACGGTAAGTGCGACAGGACTTTTGTTTACAATCGAATCGCTCTTTAAATGCGACCTTGAAAATTAATAACTGGCAATTAATTCAATTTTTCACCATTTACCCGATTTTAGGAAGCACTCTAATGACACAATCTAATTCTGTAGGTTTAAGGATATATTTTTAGTTTTGAATGCCGACATTCCATGCCAAGTTATCTCATAAGTGTGTTATTTTGGTTAGTACAGCCGAGACCATTTAATCTACTCTATCTTATTTATCGCTGAAGGATATAGAGAAATTGTACAATGTTCGACAGTGCTCAAAAAGGAGAAGTTTAAAATTTGTTCCGTAATAAAATTAAATTATCTTCCATTGTATGCTACGTAATTGGTATGAATTATGAAATGAATACTTAATGTGAGAAATCCCCTCCAAATTGCCAAGCTAAATGGAATGTACGTATTTTGAATAAAAATCGTTGCAATTTTTTTAGGTTATATTGTTCGCATGTTGCAGTGTTGCCATGGTTATCATTTGGAATTTTTTTTATTCTTATTTATTCAAAATGACTGATCTAGATACGGTGAACTGTGTTATTTATTTTTTTGCAATTTTATGTATTAATCGTAAATTAAGTTCATTTCTAAGTAATACTTGTGGAAAAAGGTTTCAGATTAGATTAGATACGTAATTCTTAAGTAAGGTATCGTAATTTAACGTAAACCCATCATTATGCAACTGTGTGAGGGTTGTTTCTCTGACGTAATGAATTTTGTTTTGTGCGTACTGTCTCCAGAGGGACTTGAAGCATAGGAATCTCAACTAATAAAATGGAAAAAGCAGTTTTAAACTGGACTGCCGATTTTCGAAAAGTTTACTGGGGACAATTTTTCATGTTAACGTTAAATCTAACTGACAGTTTCATGGAAACAAATGCATTCACATAGGAGCTTGTCTCATCAGATAAATTTAACCAACACATGAAAAATCGTCTCTTATTCCAGTAAATACCATTTTTTTACGTCTGATCTTGCACCAAACAATAAATATTACTTTAGTATTTGCTCTGAGATTTGTTTGAACTTAATTTTTGAATTTGCTCAGTTAGACCGAATTAGGTAAGTTTCAATAAGTATGAGCCTCAAAAAAAAGTACATACGGTATTGAGGATCATTTTTTATTAGGAATACAACAGTGCATGAGACACAAACAAGAACAAAAGTTGGAAACTGTTGGTTTCAACAAGATGGTGCACCCGCGCACAATGCCCATTTTGAAAATACATTTTTTATATCAATTCGGCCTTCAGAGTAACTCACATTTTCAAAAACCTACCTATTTCACTTTCCTAAAAACTTATAACTAAAGCTTCCAAAAAACACTATTTGGAAAAATTGACTTGAAGCAATTTCAAAATTGTTTAAAATCTTTGTTATTGGACAAATTAGGTAACATTGATTTTTGTAATAATGTAGCGTCAATGAAGAACATTTCTGGTCCACTCATTTCGACAAACGTGAATGGTGCAATTAATTGAAAAAAAATAATTGAATTTTAATCAGCAGAAAACTGACAAATTGTTCAAAAAGGGATTTTTTTTAAAATATTGATTTATGAAAAAAATTTATTCTTCATGATATTTTTCGCTTGCTTTGAAAGTACTAATAACGTTTCGATAATCTAAAATTTATTTATAGAAATCTGGAAAAACAATAAAATTAATTTTTTTTTTTTGAAAGTTATCATTCTACATTATAATCAAGATAGCGTATTGCTATCAAACCACAAACAATCGAAACGTTATTGGTACTTTCAAAGCAAGCAAAAAATATCATGAAGAATATATTTTTTTCATAAAGCAATATTTAAAAAAAAATTCCCTCTTGTATACTCCATCGCTTTACACACTGTATATATAGTAGGTTTTATTTTACTTCACAAATTAGCTGTAGTAGTCGACGGAACGGTACAGAATCTCGAACGCCACCAGGAGTTTGTCGATCCTTGCTCCTGGTCAAGGACGGTCGGTTTCGGAAGCCACAGTGACAACGGAAAATTCCAGAGAAGAATAATCGAAAACAGACTTATGGCACACGGAAAGGGTAGCGACTTCCCAAAGCGGGAACGGACGCACAACTTAACTAACGGTTATAATATAATTAATGGAAAAAAACTTATCAAGCGCTCACCTTGAAATTAAACGGTACGGTAAAATGCCAAACAAGTTTAACGTCCATACTGATGCCAAAATATGCAAAAGGGTACCTCTAAATCATACTTACTATTCCCAAAATGCGGAAAGGGAACGCCACATTTTCCAGCTGGTTGGCGTACTCGAACGTTCAAAAATTAACACTAACTATTTACCTGGTTCCCTGTTATAAAATCTGGGAGCCTTCTTAAAATTCGTGATTAATTAGCGCGCTTTCAATGATACTAAACACAATCTAATGAGACTAGTAACATGTAAGAGTAAACGTATGCACAAGCGAAACCGCTGCACACACAGAACCACTGATCCTTGAACTCGTAGAAATCGATTTGCGAAGGTTTGATGTCGTTACCTCTTTTCGTTCTCCAGTTAGATGAGGAACAGACTTATAGACGAATAAAACCATCACAAAAAGGGAATTTTTTTTCTTTCGAAAAATTTTCCTAACGATTCTACAAAGAGGGATATGCTTCAGGCTGGGTAAACGAATCTACTCCTGCAAAACAGGGGAAACACAATGTTTATGCAAACAGACTGAAACGAGAAACACTTCTACAAAGACGGACTTTGCGTATCCCTAAGCTACAAAAGCGAATGTACCCCTGTAAAATGGGGGAAAAAATTTAATCTACAATATCTAAAACTGTAATATTTTACTCATTTAACCTAATCTCTGTTGCAAAAGGAATAAAATTTTGCGCCTTAAGAGGAATGGGCACTTCTTTTTTTGGATAATCTGAATCTGGTTATCAGAATTCCCAAAACAGGACAGACTTCCTTTTTCTTATGCATATCTATTGGATTTTTACGGAATGAGACTGAGATAAAAAAAGAAATTCATTTCAATGCATCGCCATCATGTCCATGTTGACTCAGCAAGTTCTAGTTACCTGCGGAATTTTTTAAAAATTTACTTTGGCTTTTATTTATTTATTATTTATTTATTTATTATCCCTCTCTTAGTTTTGGGCCCTCAACAGGCATGCGCCCAATTACAGAGTGACCCGCATAATGCTATTTAGAGGTGCCTCTGCAGAAGGTCTTAAGTTGGTCTATACTACTCCGGTATTTACCTTACGAATTAGGAAAACTGCAGGAAAAACCTAATTCGGAGTAGCCGGTAGAACGCTCGGAACTGGTCTAAGGTAATTTACATCTCCGCCACAGATGAAAAATTCACCTCAACCCAGGTTCGAACACCCAACCTCCGGATTTATAACCCAACGCTCTTACCACTGAGCCATAAAGCCGGTTTATTTTTGAGTGGGCGGAGTATCAGCCAAGACTGCTCTACCAACCCAACCCACTGTACATTTACAAATATCCATGCCCGCACCCGGATATTATTTGCATGGGTATTGAAATACACACCAAAGGTTTGAGATCCTTGTTTCTTGTTGTTCTATGGTCATACATTTTTCTATGTCTAATTACTTGAGCGGTAGCTTTATAACATTGGACTGCATGGAAAGAAATAAGACACATTTTAAGCGTTACCTTGAACTTTGACACCTGACCTATGCCCCTCGTCTAAAAATTCGTTTGGAAGATATGATAACCGTCAAAGCGCCTGAACCTCCTGAAACTCAAAATGGAGACTTTCCACTATTTAACTGTAACCGGCAAACAAGCAATAATTTTAATATGGTGATACATTGATTGATTAACATAAGAACATTTGAGCTGGAAAGATTCCATAATAGTACAATTAATAGATTACTCAACTATTGCAGGTAGATAACCTTGTTGTGATAATTATTAAATTTAATTGTATCGCAGGAATGGGAATTTTTCTCTTATCTATACTGGCAAACTTTTACTATACATCAATTGTTAATCACAATTACTTTTAATGAACCATAAAAATAATGAATATTGTGAAACCACTTCTACTTGTTTGCGTGATATTATGGATGATAAACTCCCTCTAAGAAAGTCAGTTTTTTAAAGGTTTAGTCTATCGCGAGTGGTTTTATAAACAATGGAGTCAAAGTCTAATATGTTTTTTTAAATTTTTTGTTTTTGGCGCCAAAATATCAAAATCTGACACAATTTGTCTTACTGTCCGCGGTGGCTCAGTTAGGTTCAATTCAAGTCGGAGATGATATGGTATACTAGACATGCTGGAACTTGTCTCAAGAGATTATATGAAAAAAACAAGGTTGAAATCGTGTCCTGTATTCATACATTAGTCGATAAAAAATTATAACAACACGGGAGTAGTTAAACGATGTATTTTTGAGATTGTGCCATGTTTTTACATAGTGACGAACAATCTAAAAGAGAAATTCATCATGCCGTGTGCCACCTAGGAAAAAAATTAATTAATCTGAACAATGCTTTTCCTAATTTTGTGATATCCTTGATTCGACCCGATTTTGTAGTTAATTAGGTTTTGATAAATCTACTGGTTTAATTTATTTTTAGTAGAAAATAAAATTTCAGATTGTTTGTCATAACTAAATTTGATTAGGCCAAGATGAAAAATAATAGTTTTTGTATGCTAATTTAAAATAAAGTTATTTAAATTAAAATCTTTGAATAAATAACTTGTTATCTAATAATAGTATGGACCATTAAAAAATAGCTAGTGGTCTTGACAGCTGTTTTCATTTCAGGTTGTTGTTATTCACGCGGTTTTTGAAAATACATACTACAAACCTTGTTTAATACCACAAATGATAATGAAGATATGTTTTTGACTACGTTATAGTAGTGCAAAATATTGTGTAGTAACTTACAGGAAATTGTGTAGTCATAATTTGTTGCTTATATGATAAAACCAGTTTCATTACCAGTTACAATATTTGCTTATTGATAATTACCTACTATTTTATCGTAACGTACAATTTATTTATAAATTTCACTTTTCTGTTTTTCAAGCACGTTTAAATTATCTTAACTATTGTTGTACATTAAGTGATTTGCAGTTTTTGTTTAATTTCCACGCTCTTGGCGTGTCTCGGATTGTCCCTGGGGGGCCACAGTCAGTGCAATTTTGATATGGTGGACAGAATTGAGAACTACATCAGAATTACCTCCTTTGGAAATCCCAAGCGCTAGATTTTAGAATTCACTTAGAACAGTAGGGAACTATAATTTATCGTGGGTCTGTTCCCCACCAATTTCTTCATTTAAATTCATTTTGCTGCACGAATTATGTAACAATAAAACTGCAATTTATTACTAAAGAGTCAAAAAGTTGCAGCTGAGTCGCTTATTTGTATTCTCTGATTCGTAATGTTTTTAAATTAATGTAATCATGAACTAAGGGCTCATTAAAACTACTTGGGTGAAGGTTCACCGCATATACTTACAGTAAATTACGTAAGAATATTTCAAAATCATTAGCAATTAAATTGCATTGCAATGCTTTCACACAGCCCAATTGGTATCACGTCCAGGTGGACTTTGGAAGTTAAATATTATGCATTATTTATAAGGTAATTAGGAGCTTGTGCTTACAAGCAATTTAAAAGGTAACCAGAAGGGCGGGGGCTTAACTCGGTGCTGGTTGTATGTTCCTTAAACGATGATATTGAATATAGATTTGGCCTAGTTAGTGCTACGACTAAGAAGCTTCCTAAGTGGAATCCAAGTCTGGGTATGGAAGTTTTGTCACATTGTTTCAACGTTTTTTACTCGAATTTTAAGAAAAATTCACCATTTGGAGGGCCTCTCTTTCAAACGCTCTCTGAATTGTGAGATTTCATTTTTTATTTTGAAGTTCTATATGGTAGAATTTGAGCGATTTCAAAAATTTTGACCAAAACTCCCATTATACAAACATTTAATTTCACATTTGGATAGGTTGGTATATTAAATTAACTCGAATTATTACAGAATAAATTCAGAATTTATTTAATTTATACACAAGATAAGGATATCTATCATGGAGATCCCCCAAACCATAGAAGATACGACGATGGTCAAATTATTGAAAAGATGCGCAATGAGAGAGTTATTTAAAGAAGACCAGAAAATTCCGATTACTACCGAAAAATCGACATTTGCCGATTTGGTTTTTATGTTTTCTGATCTTATTTGGACAGATACAACAAAATAAAAAAAATGTTTAAAAACCCATTCGTGGCTGTTGCCGCGCAACACAACTGTAAATGCCCTGTAAGGTGGCCCAGAGGCATAGATCTCAATGGAACAGACGACGGAAAATCGAGCGTTACGCTAAAAACACTTTCTCTTTTTGAGTCATCAACTTTATTTTTTTATAAAGCTCGTAAAAAAGTACATACTATATTGAGTAACGTTTCTTAATTACCAATGCAACGATATATGGCTCACGAAATAAACAGTTCTACCAGGATGTTGAATCCACACGATTAGAGCATTATGTGCTGGTGCACCATCCTGTTGGGACCAACAGTTTCTAACTATATTGTTTTTTTGTGTGACCATCAACATCGTTGTATTTGATTTGGCGCCCTTCTTCGAACATTGACATTAGATATCTCTTCAAAATTCTGCATTGTTTTTGTTAGATGTGTAACGCCACTTATTGCAACCCTTAGATCGCTGATTGAATAAGAATTACGATAGTAAACGTTGGATTTCAAATAACCCTATGAAAATAAGACTCAACCCAATAAACTTGGAGAACGTGCGTGCCATAACTGAAAAACTGACAAAAAATATTTTCCTGGTTTTTGGACCTTGTAATAAAAACAAATTTAATGCATATGTTAAAAATAGAGTGCACGCTCTAGCTCTAGCATTTTTTATTATTTTTGCTTGTTCTCAATCAAGATAAAAAATACTGAGTCTTAAGGCTGAGGAACAAGGAATGAATCCTTTGTTAAAATGGAGTAAGGTAGCAAGCTCGGTTTAAGCCCAATTTGAACAGTGTACTCGGTTACAGTCTCTATGGTTGATTTTCTCATTTAGAAAATATATGTAACATTTTTTCTTTTGTTATAGGGCTCTCTGGTTGCATATCGACATTACTACATGATGCGATAATGAATCCAGCAGAAGGTAAGCGACAGTGAAATTTTGTGCATACTCAAAATCATTACTTTTAGTTGTCAAGCAACGGATGCAAATGTATAATTCCCCATACAACTCAGTTATTCAGTGTATGAGACAAGTTTACAAACTAGAGGGGATACGAGCATTTTATAGGTCATATACAACACAATTAACTATGAATATTCCATTTCAAAGCATACATTTTATGGTTTACGAAGCCGCACAGAAAATTACGAATAAGGAGCATAAGTACAATCCGCCGGCACATATGGTCAGCGGAGCAATGGCTGGCGCCGTTGCGGCAGCTATAACGACACCTTTGGACGTGTGTAAAACACTTTTAAACACGCAGGAAGGAGTGAAAGCCACCGGTTTAGTTCACGCTATAAAGACAGTGTATAGGGTGGGCGGTCCTACGGGATACTTTCGCGGTCTGCAAGCTAGAATTTTGTTTCAAATGCCCGGAACGGCGATTTGTTGGTCGACGTACGAATTTTTCAAGTATCTTCTCACGAAGAACAGGTTTGACGAAATGAGGTTGGTAGCACCTTCGACTGTTCTTGCCGAAACCGATTCCTCGCATTATCTAAATGATCTAATTTCGTCGTCATCTTCAGAAAAAGTAAGTCTAAAGCCCCGTGAATTACCCGCCATGTCCGGTGCCGGACTATACGGATCAATATCTTTTAACACCATGCACACAGCAGATACAAATTTCACAAGCAGACGAAGGGACAGTACAATACTTGATATAAACCACACATAGTGATATTTGTAAGTATTAATTCATTTCCAATAAACCGTTGTTTATATTTTTTAATGTAAAGCGTGAACGTCTTTGTTGAAAGAAAAATAACCAAAGAGTTATTTTCCGAATCAAATTCATAGGCATGTAATGTCATAATTGCATAGTTAATTGTAGTGCCTTAAAATTCATTTTAGAATAAACGAAAGAGCAATTATAATTTGAACATTCCAATCTTTGCTTGTTCTAATAATCTCATCATCTTACTTTTTGGTACTAGTTTACGATTGGAGAAAGTGGCACATGATCATGCAAATACAATGTATTGGTTAGTTTTCTTTGAAGCAAAGGAGTTCCTGTATGTGTGGAAAGATTTTGACAATATAAAATTGGAGACCTATCACATTAGTCAATAGGTGTTTACAAATATCATGATTCCTTTTTACAAAAGAAAGTCTTTTAGTCGGTCATTCAATATTGTTGATTGAATTAATCATTTGTTACGGATATTTATTGAAAATGCTGTCGCATTTTGCATGTATCTTTGACTAGTTCTCATGGAGGCTCACCATTTACTTTCTATTTAAACGAGGTATAGCAAATTGCTGGTCATGTATAGTCAATTCTTTATTAAGTGAACCCTGTGGGTGTCTTGTTTTATTAGTACATATGATAGCTTATACTTCCACTGATTATTAAAGCGTTCAACATGGTTATGCCTAATATACGTTTCCATTTGTATTAAATGCACGAGATGTTCCTTTTGAATGTGGAATGGTTTCGAACTCGCAGTTGTTTACCACGAAAAGATCAAGTTAATTTTAAATCGATTCGATCACACTAGAGGAGCAATAGATTCATACGCATCTTTTCTTTTCCAAATTAATTATTTGGGAGCTCAAACATATCCGAGCTCAGTATTAATAGTATGTTGTTATAAAATGCTTTTTACCCTTATTTTATTATATGTAACGCTATCTTGGCTGTGATAAAGTCCTTATCGACAATTTATGTATGATATTGACTTCGTTCAGATGGGAGTACTATCATAACGCTGTTTATTTTAGCAGCAATCTAGTGTTTCTTTGTTTGCATTCTTGCAAGTATTTTAACATTCGATTGTTGCTGCTTTCGTGTGATAAGGGACCTTGTCACTATTTAAATAGGTTTTACGTTGAATAGGTATATATATTTTTTTGTTTTTTTGTAAAATAAAATTTTGTAAAATATATTTGAAATATAACAGATGTTGATAACAAATTGAACTGGAATTATTATATTTTGTGTTTGTTAAATTGATACAAAAATACAGACTATTTAATTAGTTTTTGTCTATTATGTGTTTGTTGCTTTCTTTTATGTTTTTCAGATTGTTAATTTCATATATCCTCCTGACAATCCTTTTCGTTCATAATGATATCAGTACCCTTCCAATATATTCCGACTTACATTGCTATTCTACAAGAAATTCCAATCTACTTATTCCCGATTGTTTGCTACTCGAGCAAGAAACATAGGTATTAAGCTCTACAATATCTGCCCTGCCTCCTGGAAAGAGAAACATACGTATGGTCTAAGAAGACATCTCAGAAGCCATCTTCTAAAGAACCCAGTATAATATGTCTTTCAATGATTGAATTGTATCTTTCTTTATCTTATGACACTGATATGTACATATCTCGAAATAAATTGAAATTGAAGTTATATTTTAGTCTATGTACTATGTACGATTTTCGCTATAAAAAGCGTTGCATGGCATCAACAGAAGAAAATGATGATTTACATTAATTACATTTATTATTTAGTTACTTTTTAGCTGGTATAAGTTGGCAGATTTGGAATTGCCAAACGTTGACATTTGACACTTCAGTTTGGTTTGTCCATGTCCATTCATATTTGCCACAATGCCGAAGCGTTTGAATAGTAAAACGAAGAACTCGTTGCCTCAATATTTTGCACAGGAACAAGATAATAGAGGCCCCTTATTACCATTAGGCTCTATTCGAGAGGTAAGAATAGAATTTCAATTATTTCTGACTACTTCTACTAATTGTGATCACGTTTAGTGTGTTGCGGCAGCTTTAAATTTAAACACTTCGATGGTTAGCAGAATTTTTCAAGCTGTTAAGCAAAATGAAACCAAAGAAATGTTGCCAAAATAAGAAACGTTGCTGATCCATATTCATTGAGTATTACGTCTATCTGTGGTGTAATATATATCATGTATACAAATAGTTAAGACTGAAATTGTTGGAATGTGTTTACCTAACTCTTTGTTTTAGGAACAAGGTACTTTGTGATCTATTCATGCGAATCTTCAAGCAAAAGAAATGGTTGACCGTGGCAAAACATACATATATTCCTTATACAACTTGCTGCAGGAAGGAACATGATAGTAGTTCTAGTGCTGATGATTAACTTTACAATAAATAAAACCAATTACCAGAACTGTTATTTTCTTTTATGTTAACATTTTATGTTAGATACGTAAGCAAGGTACTCAGGAAACTATCTTCCATCTTATTACCATCACACCAACTTATGTTAGTTATTATTTTACGTAGAGAAATAACATTTCGTGTGTTTTTGCCTTTGTTGAACTTCCCTATTCTTAAATTTCACTATCGCAAGAGTTGGTCATATGCTTTTGTAAAATAACATAAAATCAATTCATAGGTCAAGATTGCAAGCAAGCATTAACTTTATATAATTTATTTGATGATTAGACTGATCTTTTTTACCATTTTGCTTGCTGTAAGTATGTTAATTAGAGCAAATTTTTGCGAAACCGTATCCTCCAAACTTAAAGCAAACGACTTTCCGTCTTTTGCCCTTTGACAAACTATACGTTTTGATATTTTCCCTAAATTTATTTTGCATACATACCGTTTTAATTTTTGCTTTTTCTGGCACAGTATTCTCACATGATTTTTAGTGACTTAAATTTATTTATTTTTCTTGCAAATTAAATTATAATCATTATATTCCGCTAATGCTTATTTAATTTTTCATGCCATTTGTGCGCGGAGTTACTACCAAAGTCGTCGCATAGCGGTATGGAAAAAAAATGAAACGCTCTACAACAATTGTGATAAGACTTCGATGGGGTTTTCTCAAGACTAAGCTTGGCAGAAAGTTAGCGCCGGTCACTAGGTTCTGATGGCTTCAGCAGTGTGCACAGGTATCGGTTTTTTTCTCAATGTTTATTTTGTTTGTTCTGTTTCAACAGTGTATTTACACGTTTTATTCTTTCTTGTACTAAGCATTAACTTTGAATGTTGTGCCACAATTTGTTTTTATTTACATTTACTTAAAATACTGACATTTGTTTATTGAAGCATGGCGTGTTCCAAGCTTTTGTTTTTATGTATCATTACTGAGTCGTGTTTGTTATAAAGAATTTATTTATTATTCAAGTTGAAGTGTGCTATCGTGTGATGTTGCCGTAACAATTTACAATAAATGTTCGCATAACCATTAACTGCAAGACAGTAACCAAGTCGATCAAAATCCATTTCGAACTGCTGCTAATTGATAACTGGATATCTTTTTGTTTTAGAAAATTCCATGGCATCGCAGATTATTGAAAAAGATGCGGGTTTTATTTTTACAATTTTCCGTCTTTATATGAAAAAAATTGAAAACTAATACGGTTGATTAGCGTAAAAAAAATTTTTCTACAAAAAACTTTAATACATTTTTGCTCTAAAATAATTTGGGGAGCCAATAATCGCATGTTATAAATTTTACATTGAAATCCGTATGATGCGTTACGCAAGTCGCCACCCTGTATAGTCATTTGGCTAATACCAGTTGCAAAATTTGGTTTTGCGCATGCGCAATGGCACCTTTATTATTTATGAGAGCATCAGTTGAGAGCAGTTAAAGGAAATGTCATGTGGAGGCACTTTCAATGAAACTAAAACTAATAAGGGTTTCAAAATTACTATTTACGCATGCTGTATTTATTTATTTTCTTTATTAACGGGCAAGCCAATATTTTAGCGTACTTCTCAATAACAAATTTTACCGAGTTAATACAATTTTCACGTATTTAAATGTACATTTAAATTTACGTTACCCTATAGATGATGCCAATGCCCATTGTCAAACTATTGCCGACTTTAAAACTGTATATGGTATTTCTCCACGTGTTCCTAAAATTTCGCTAAACACTTTGCTTCTGTTTTCAACTCTTAGTATTTAGATTCCCTACTACTACATGTAGTATTTCCTTGCACAAAGCAGGATAACATGTTATTCCAACAACGAAAAAGACAGAAAATGGAAATGTTTTACCATTAAATGAGCAAAATTCTCTAAGTTATATAGGGCTGGAGATCAAAAAAGAATTCGATTTTAGCAGGATAACAAGAGGACATTTTTGGATGGTGCCAAATGCAACGTGACATATGTTGATTGTACTTGGGATTGATATAATAAACTAGTTCTCATTTAAATGGTGGTGCAGAAGCGAAGAAAGCGAATCAGTAACTAAAGATGTCCGTTGTCGTTAATAAGAAACCATTTTCGACGTGTAGACGAAAAACTTATTTATTATAGATCAATAGTGAATTTCCAGTACGTTTGAAGGCGATATTCAAGTTTTAGCTGTTCATCTCGTCAACCATGCGGTTTAAAGGGCTATTTCTAGCGTTTTATTTATGAAGGTATTCAAGGAAATTTCTAATGTAGACAATGCGCAATGCTATTTATGAAAGCATTTCAAATAGTTTTATATGTAGACACTTCGAATAAAAGTAAAACTAATGCCCATTTCAAAATTTGTTTGTATTTGTATACGCTCCACTATTTTTCATAAAACTGTATAGACTTCGACGATAGGCGGCTCATTTGAAAGAGAATGGGGTAAGGATCTCGTGCCTACCGGTATTTTTCCCTGGTCCTAGCATTAATATTAGGATACGCTCTCGTCATTTATGTTTGCATAACTTTTTAAATGTAGTAGCCTGTGTAATTTAACAAATCGCAACAAAAATTGGGTTGAAATGAAATGTAAAATCTATGAATAACCCCGTCAGAAGTTGTTGATTGTGTGCTGCTGGGTGTACTTGTTTGCAAAAGGGGGTGGATTTTTATACTCAAAAATGTAAGTGTTATTGTATTTATAGACATCATGTACATACAAGTGCTTATTTTAATATGGGTTAATTATAATTCATTTCCAAATTCTACACTTCTTGACTGGGTTCATGTATGAACCGGATGGACAGTTGAAGTCTCTCGAAAATTCATCAGAATTCATTAAAGGCCCCAATACGCGAAAAATGTAACGAGAGTGATCTGCGAATGGAGCAATGTTGCTTAGATAAAAACTTGACTCCTTCGCGCACCATAAACGTCCGTATGATATCCAAAACATTTGATTTGCTGTGTATTTCTCATAGTTTGGTAGACTATCGTCTGGTCCAAACTGTCGCGCCCATATCTGATATGCGTTGTACGCAGCTAAAACACCAACAGTATCTGCCTGATCTTCGTTGTTAGTTAGTGCAGCGCTTTCCTACAAGGAAAATCCACGTTTTATCGTTTTTGAATTGAAAAATCGCGTACCTACCTCGCTACCACTCATCGCCGCGTATTGCGTTTTAATGCATAGACGCGCCTCGTTCAATTTTGCAACCGCTTCCGTTGTAGCAATCGTAGCTAGGAGCCCATCTTTATCATAATCTAGCCCTAACCCACTAACTCCATGATTTATTTCATGAGCAATGATCGATCCCATTGTACCATAATTAACATAGTTAGGTCGATTTGGATCGTAAAATGGAAGGGTGATAATTCCTGCCAAAATTTCTGCAACAAAAGGTCAACATTATTGATAACAAAACTGAGAACACGTACGTATGCTATTTTCAAATGGATTGTAAAATGCGTTAGAGTCAATGACTGAGGAATGGGTGCTCCAATCGGTTCTGTTCGGCACCTCCCTTAGTTTCGCAAATGTGTCGTTATCAGTAAATCTTGAGATGTTCAGATAAAACTCAAGATAATTGTCACTTTTCTGGACCTGAAATATTTGCTAACTTAGACCAAAGGGGAAGCAACTTGTACGTACAGATTTATAATAGTCATCTACTTTAGCGTTGTCGAGCAGTTCGTCAGGATATCCAATTAATTCGTACATTGCTGATATTTTTTCTTTAACATTTGTTCGCGTCTCGTTATCCACCCATGGACTATTGTCAACTTCCTCAACAAGTCCGCTTTTTGTGTTATCCACTAAGGGCGTTAAACTTTGTTTCAGTTCCGGAGTCAGATACTTTTTCACGTATAAAGCCGACAACGCAACTGGCAAACTGCAAATCGAGTGTATTATGTGCAAATCAATCAAATTTCTAGGTACCTTTGCATTACTAGGGGAATGCAAGCACTTATTGCCGTCTGAGCAGCGCCCCTATAGATGTTTATACCAACAATGTCTAGCATTTCAGCAATGGCTCGATATTCCACGTATGAAGCTAATGTACTGTTAAAAAAAACCACTCAGTATAACATCAATTATTCATGAATTATTTTCAAATTGAAGACGAACACAAATTTTCAAAGGGTTTGTTACAAATAATTTTGTGCGTATTGGGGGGAACACAAATTTTCTCTCATGCAGGAAAAACTATTGGTTTAGACAGATTACCCATCCATTTATTTGTTTTCTTATCGTGTTATTTATTACTGAGGGCTACAAGTTTTGTGCTCACTCACAGAGCAAGAAGCAAGAAGTAATATGAAATTTTGATTTTGGAACCGTAAAAATAGAGATATTTCGATTCGATCTAAATATTTTGTATCTGCATAAAGCAAAATGTTTCCATTGTAACTAAAATTCGGGCAGAGTTCTGGTTAGGGGAAGCTAGTCTATTTTATCTGTATTTTAATTTCAATATTAAATTATGAAAGTCTTCTAACTTAGTCAAATATGTAAATTTTAAATTCTCAAATGGTAAAGAGGAACTTGATGTGTTTATGTGTTCAAATTTTGCCATTTAAGGGGGTTGTTGATATTAGTAGCAGAAAAAGTGACCACGGCGCATTATTTCGTAAAATTTTTTGAACTAGATTCTTGCAACGAATGTTGAATGATTTATTTATCTGACGGCTGTAGGTATAGGAAGGTTGAAATCGTTCAAAATTTCAATATATACCTAACCATAGTTTAGATTCGGTGTAATTATTTGCCATTAGGGTGGTCGAAAGTTTACTGCACAGAAACAAGGTACATCGTTAAAAAGAGCTATTTTCGCGCTGGTAACGAAATAGCACAAAGCTAGATACTGGCTGATCTTGCTTGATGAACTTAGCTGTACCTATCCACTTGGCACATAATTGAATTAATTTTGATGAACGGGCACTATACCACCCTCACCATTTCCAGTCCTAATGAGAAATGCTCACTTACCTGCGTGGCGTGCTTTTGAGGATCTCGAACATTCGATCAAGGTAGTCAGATTGGAAAACAATCGCAACATCTGTGTATCTCAAGGGCTTATCCTTCAGGATTTCTATATCGAGCATATTTGTGATATACGTTTTCCAACAGATGCTTCTATATTGTTTTTGAAGCTCCCTAATAGTTTTCTTTTCGTACGTGGTACCGGGCGTTGTTAACTAGAACATTTGAATGGTGGCATATGTTAATGAAATTGAAACGTTCCGTATACTTACACTTGCCAATCTGATTTCTAATTCAACAATCTTTGTTGCTTCCTGTTCGGTATAAGTCATATTTGTAGCTCCCATTCCCATCGCCAATTCCACGATGTTCATTTTGTATCGCTGCACAGTTTGATCATTAATGCCATTTAGCAGAACGGACGTAGGTGCAACTACACTGGGTGCGCCAATCTGTAATGCGATATGGGTTAGCCAGAGTTAGTTGGTGGTCAAGTGTCTAATACCGATACAGCGTACTTGGTTTTGTCATACAAATTGTATTGAATAGAAACCGGAAGAAACGTTTTTGAGTAAATACCAAACGACCGAAGCTTATAAGAAATCTCCCTCCAGTTGAGGTTGCACGCTTTTTTAACTGCTATCCATCCACCGAACTGTTCAAGAAACTTTTTCATGCTGTCTATAATTGGTTTATCAATTTTGAAATTGTTTATACAGGCGTTAAATAAATTATCCACCAATTCGGCCGACTTTGATGGATAATTTGGCGCGCTGAGCGAATTTTCCATAAGAAGAACGTATACTTTCTGCATTAGTGCTTGGCGATTGTCCTGCAGCTCATTCCATAGTATCTGACCGGGCGGAAGCGGTTCTGCGAGTATATTACCGCATGTAAAATTGTAGAAGTGGTCGCATGGATTTACACTTTCATCCAAACCCCGGCCAATATAAAAAGATGCTGTGAAACACTCTGCTGTGACACATGTTTGCCTGCATTGCATATTGGTAGGTAAAAATGGTACGGCGCCCTGCGTACTTACGCTCGTTGCTGAAGAGAAGCCCCTAAAACTAATTGTACGCCGAGAACGACAACGGTTATTTGTATCATCACTCAAAGGTGGTCAGCGTGAATTGCGAAAGGTGTAGGTAACGCATACCTATATAGAATTCAAATTTTTATCTTAGGATGACGAGATAATGTCTGCCTAAATAATATATGCTACTACAAATAATGTAATTTTACCAACAAGGTCATTTATGTTTATCACTGGAACCTAGATTGTACTATTTTACAATGTAATCAACCTTGTATTCCTACAACACGATCTAGTTTCATTTTTACCTGGAGTTTAAGGACGCATGTGAAGTGAATTGTACGTTTTTTTTAGTGTTTTTCAGTTCAAAAGTTGTGGGCTAATTTTTCTAATGGTACTTTTCGTTGGGCATTAACGATACATTTGGTGGAATCGTTTTGATGCTTTTGCGTCATCGTCATTTTCGAGAATACCTTGAAGACCAAACTCGGCTGCTGATACATACACAGCTTTCCTTTTTTGGTTACGAAATATGATTTTGTCCATAAAGAGGGGTGGTGCCGGTAATTCACAAATCAGTGGTGTTTTTTTTGTTTACTTATATGTTTTAATCTTTTTTTTGTGGAATACCGCCATAATGCTGTATTTTCGTTAAAGAAAGACTGTTTATTTTGTCATAAGTATACATAGGTAAACAATGCTTTAGCACATGGCGAAACTGTTTCAAAAAAAACTTAGGCAAATTACAATGCCACCGTTTAATTTTCTTATCTAATGACGCGCAGAAGTAAACATTTTCTTTTGATATCAGTTCGAAATAGACACTTTTATTGTCATGTATGTCTATACTGTCTTGCCCCCTCTGAAAATTATCGGCTACTGGTTTCGGTTTTGATGGTTCCTTTACAAAGTACCAAATATAAATCTACCCAACTCAGCATATTACACACAAATTACAATTAGACCCTGAGCAGTAAAGACTGCACCATTCCCACCCCTCTGTTTTTTGATGGTGCATTGGCTGCGCCATTTTGTATCGGCAAATTTGAATGTGTGCAGGAGATTTGAATTTTTGAAATTGCGGATATTGGCCATTTTGTTTTTGTAAATTTAAATTTTTGTGGAAGATTTGAATTTGCGGATGTCTGCCATTTTGTTGCGGTAAATTTGAATTTGTGCGGTGAATTCGATTTTGTTTACTGTGATTGGTTGTGGCATTTTAAATATACATGGTGTAATCATAGTTATATACAGTGTATTTGTGATAGGTGTTTTTGTATCGGTGCCAATAGGTCGTTAACTGTTCCCATGCGGCCCAATTGAATCATATATTTGAAATTAAATATACAGGATGAGGTTACAAGGGGCGCATTTACTTAATAGACCATCGATATTTGGAAAAGTGCACCGTTTTGTATATCTGAAGGCGGAAAAGAAAAATACAACTGTGTAAATTTGTATGCTTGTATAGAGTAGGTACTTGTATCGATAGTGAATAAAACAAGGGCCAAAATAGAGCCCTGCAGGACACCTCTTCTCACATATCTAGTATCTGAGTAGTTGGTACCTATTCGAACAAGCTGTAACAGTGTAACCAACATGTTACATGTCTAGTTAAAAAATCCCAAATTCGTTAACCGCGAACCTTAGATCATATTTTTTTTTGTTTTTAAATATTTTCTTTTCTTTTTAATTTACGTTCTAATATTTAATTAAGGTTTTGATTGGAGATGAGTTTATGTTATGAACATATAAATATGTAATCTTTTTTTTCACTGGAGTTCAATCAAACAGAAATCACAACGTTTTCGTTTTGCGGTTGTTGATATATTAGAGACCACCTAGGTAATTTTAGGTATATATAGTGATAGTTTTAGCGGGGAAAGTGTTCAAGTCTGTGCCTGCCCTCTTGTTTGTTTTTTTGTGTGTTTTTTTCTTCTAGTTTTAATAATCCCTATCATCAAATTTAGTAACAATTGTAACAATATATGGTAGTATGAGTGACTTGACAATAGCGCATATAAATACAAGGTCAATATTAAAAAATTATATTACTTTCACCGATTATTTTCGTAACTTTGATATCGATCTGTTGGCAATTTCTGAGACGTGGTTAGGAAAACATATTCCTGATAGTTCAGTCTTATTTTCAGATACCTACAGCATTGTTCGAAATGATAGGAATTCGAGAGGGGGAGGAGTAGCACTTCTCTATAAAAATAGCATAAAACTGGAACAATTAAACAATCGTATGCAATCAACAAGTTTTGAATACATATCTACTAAAATACTATAGTAGCTAATCAAATTTTTATACTTTTGGTAGTTTATCGGTCACCTTCACTTCACAACTACCCGGGATTTGTAAACGATTTTGAACTTCTGTACTCGGATTTGCTATTGATTTCTGATAAAATTGTTTGTGTAGGAGATTTTAACTTTAATCTGTTGAATTTAAGTAAACCTGGAGTGCAACAGTATGTTGATATGCTATATAGTTTTGGTATCACCCAAGTTATCAATATGCCAACGAGGATTTCTAGTTCAAGTAGCACCCTTATAGATCATGTACTAACATCGGACACTAATTTAATCAAATCTTCTTCTGTGGATCTTAATCATTCTATCTCTGATCATGGTATCATTTTTATTCAGCTAAATTTAATGTCCTCTTTCAGGAAACCTACCTTTTTAAAGTATCGATCTTTCAGGTCAATCAATACAGAGATTTTTACACATGATTTGGTAAGCATTAATTGGCATCACTTATACAGCATTTATAACTTAAATGATAAGATTTCATATTTCAACAATAGTATACTTCTTTTATTTGATAAACACGCTCCCTTGCGGGAATGTCGAGTAACGATACCAAAAGCTCCGTGGTTAACCAATAATGTACGATTGCTGATAAAATTGCGTGACAATGCCTTTAGGAAGTTTTGTGCATCAAAATTGGATAGTCATTGGAATTACTATAAAAGCTTGAGAAATTATGCCAACAACGCAATTTTAAGGGAAAAACGTGCGTTCATGGAGCATAGTGTTAAATACCAATCTAATAGCAGTAACGTTTATAAAAAATTGTCGGATCTTGGGGTAGGTCACAATAGCTTTCGAAACAAATTACCTTCTCATTTAACTGACGCTAATGCTGTTAATCAGTATTTTGTCTCTAATTTGTCTTTAAGTAAATCTACTAGTGCGAATTTAATACAGTTTTATGAATCTAACTTCTTTGTACATGATATCCAAAATTTTACCTTTCGTATGATCGACACCAAAGACGTCGTTGAAATTATTACCAAATTTCAATCAAATTCATGTGGGATTGATCATATTTCACTACAAATGATTAAGTTATGTTGTCCACCTGTTGTCACACACTTAGTAAATGTTTGCATAGAACGTTGCGATTATCCAGATCTATGGAAAACGTCAATCGTGTGCCCGATTCCTCTCCTAAATCGTATTGTGACTTAAGACCCATCAGTATTTTACCCTTAGTCTCTAAGGTGTTTGAAAAAGTGTTATTTAATCAAATTCAGAATTTCCAAGATTTATCACGTATTCTTCCCGAACATCAATCTGGCTTTAGAAAGGGATACAGTTGCGAAACGGCATTACTTAAAGTTACTGACGACATTTTGTCTGCTGTCAACGAGTCCAAATTTGTAGTCTTAATATTATTGGATTTCTCGAAAGCGTTTGATACGATTGATCATGATATTTTATTAGCAATACTACATTATATTGGCTTTGACCCGAATTCTATTACACTTCTCCTTCATTATTTAAAAAACAGGAGCCAATTAGTTGACATTAATGGGAAGACTTCAACAATGATTAATTTGCGATATGGCGTTCCCCAGGGTTCTATTTTAGGGCCTCTGCTTTTTTCAATATATACTGCTAATATTATAAACAAATTAAAATATTGCAATTACCACCTGTATGCTGATGATACGCAGTTATATTATGCATTTTCTAAAACTGAAGTTGAGAAGGCAAATGGTGAAATAAACGAAGATTTAAATACCTTCCTAAATTACGCTGAACAACATTCATTACATATTAACCCCAGTAAATGTAAGTTGCTATTAATTATTTGGTGCATCACACAACACAGCTACTCGTGCCGAAGTTTCCTCACTCTTAGATATAAGAATCGGAAATAAAAAATTAGAGTTGGTTCAGGAAGCCAAAAATCTCGGGCAAAGCTTAAACGCGAATTTCAATTATCAAACGCATATCAAAAATTGTTCACAACGGGCGTTTGCTGGCCTTAGATATATACATCGAATTAAAGGTTTACTTTCTCGCAATTCAAAAATTATGCTCTGTCGATCCCTCGTGCTATCCCATTTTTCATTTTGTAGCGCAGTGTATGGCCCTTGTCTTTCTAAATTTCTTGAAAGAAGAATACAGATTATTCAAAATTCATGTGTTCGTTTAATTTATGGAATTAGGAGGTTTGAAAGGGTTTCTCACAAGTTAAAGTGTATACCATGGCTAAACATGGAAAAAAGTAGACTTCTCTACTCTGCCACTGCATTTCACAAAATTATCTTGTTTAAAAAATAAATATAATAAAATTACATTTCGAACAGATGTTCATAATATTAATGTTCGTCGGAAAGATTTGATTACCATTCCTAACCATAACTTAGAACTATTTAAAGTCATTTTCATATAATATAGCCAAGATCTATAACTCACTTTCGTCGAACGTTATAGTATATTAAGTATGGAGAACGGTAAGGGATTTTTACCGTTCGAAGACAATTGTTTGGAGGAGGAGCGAAGCGACGACTCCAATTATTGTCTGAGAACGGTAACCCTTAACGTTCGACGTGCTTATAACATTTTTTGCGAGATCGAAATTAAAATTATGCAACCAATATAAATATTCACTAAGAAATTAACGAGCAGAATAAATCGAAATGATCGAAGTGGTATGGTGTACATCACTAGGTAACCAGTTTATTTGTCAAAATTGAAATTAATAATTTCATAAAAATGTGCATGTGTCTGATGTAGTTTACTAGCTTTGCACTTTCTTTATGACTTTATGAGCGTCTTGCTATAGGAAACAACAGCACAAATTGTACGTTTAATGTACCTAACAGTAATTAAAGATTAAATGTAATGAAGACTTTTGATTTTTAAAAAGGCGTCGGTAAGTATTTTTGCTGTTCTGTTTTTAGATCGGTAAGTAATTTTGGCGTCGTCGTAATCATAGCAACTGGTAAATTCTACGTACTGTCATGGAAACACCCATGGTAAATAGTCAGAAATGACCGATCGCGCAAAAAACAATTAACACCATCTAAATTTAAACAAAAAGTTTACCACGATCTTTTAACATCTTATAGTTACTAATCTACTTTCAAGTTACTCCGTTTCTAAATTTTATTTGTATTTTTTGTTTCTTGTTAATTTAGACCATCAAAACTTTTTATTAATTTTAGTTTGCTATTAAACGGGTTAAGTGGAAGAGCACAAAGGGCTGCATGCCTCTTAGTGAACTTTGCCCTTTGGACGCCAAGTTCAATGTATAATATTGGTATTGTTTATATATTTGTCATAGTGTGTCCAAATAAAGTCATTATTATTATTACATGTGAATATATATGATCTAAGCTGCGAACGGTACTTTTTAGCGCATGCGTATCGTTCCTGAACTGGTTCAGAATTGCATCCCCGAACAAAACTATTATTTAGCAATTCATCAAGTAACAGATGTTTGCGAAATGTGTAATATTTTCTACTACAACCGATCAAAAAAGTTTGCTCACTAGATATCAAACGCCCGTTTTGAATTTGTTGAATCGCTATCTTGACAACATAGGTCATAATGCAACATAAAGACAACATAATATGAACACCTTGAGCATATTCATTTTTCATCATTGGAATAATTATCACCCATTTCGTGATAGTTAAGATGAAAATTTAACAATACGTATAAATTTACTCAATGAATTTGACAATAAAGCTGTAGCAATTGTTTTTATCGCTTACCCTTCTCAAAGCGATGTATTCAATCCACTTAAATGTGCATTTGATACTTTATTATCGTTTTAATTTTTTAATTGATTAGATAACTATGATGCGATATATCGTAGGAAAGATTTCTGTGCATTTTTTTTTTTTCGGGCATGGATATTTGTAAATGTATAGTGGGTTGGGTTGGTAGAGCAGCCTTGGCTGAAACCCCGCCCACTCAAAAATAAAGGCTAAATAAATAAATAAATAAATAAATTCTGGCGGATTTCATTTAAAATTTTGAATTATACTGTATTCGATTTTCAATTGTCAATAACAGATAATACAAAATTAATTGTCGAACAACTTTTATTTAACTAAATTTACAGTTTTCACTGCTCAATTTTCATAGTACCAAAAATACACACAATGAAAACTGAAATTGCGCAATGTTACTGGATTCAAAAAATTAGTGATCAAAGTCGACATTTGTTTATTGGATTCATATACGAACCGGGAGGACAATTAAAGTCTTTAGAAAAGTCCTCAGAGTTCATTAGGGGAACAAGTACTCTGTACATGTAGCGAGAGTGTTTGGTAAAAGACAAATGATTTTTCACATAATAATCTGATTCTTTCGAGCACCACAGACGTCCATACGAAATCCAAAACAGTTGATTTATAGTATATCTGCCAAAATCTTGCGGCCGAGGCTCTCCCCCATTTCGTTGAAACCAGGTCTGGTACGCCCGATACGCAGATAGAACTCCAACTACATCTGCACGGTCTTCATCCAGTGTTACCCAGGCCTTCTTCTGCAAGAAATTAAGTTAGATTCGCGTTATCACCAGCAGTGAGTCACCTCATCCTTGATGAGTTCCGCGTGTTGTTGGTGTATGCACTTTGACGCACGGTCTAAATTCGCAACGTCCTCCGACGTAACCCACGTATTCATTTGCCCATGCTCATCGAACATTAAACCCAATCCGCTTACTCCGTGGTAGATTTCATGACCTACAATCGAGCCCATTCCTGCATAATTTACATAACTTGGCAGGTCGGGATTGTAAATCGGATGCGCCACCAGTCCTGCTAAAATTTCTGGAAACTATGACGGGTGGACTGATGCTTTGTGTACCTATACTATTTTCCAATGGCTGGTACTGCGCATTGACGTTCAGTAAAGAAGTGCGACTCTTCCAGTCATTTCTTCGCGGCACTTCCTTTAGTTTTTTGTATGATTCATCAATATTAAACTTCAAAAGGTTGGAATAGAACTGGAGGTAATCTTCACTAAATTTCACCTGCAAGACATCTAAATCAAGTATGTACATATTAATCACCAATTACATTAGCGTAGTATTTATTCACTTCATTCCCATCTAGTAATGCATCCGGGTAAGCGATGTGTTCGTGCATTGCCTTTATTTTCCGAATAAAAGCTGCTCTACTTTGCTCGTAGCCTTTTGTAGCGTCAAGTACTTCTATCAAACCGCCTTTAATATCGTGCACTAACTGAGTCAATTCATGCTTGGTATCGGAGCATAGAAACCTATGAACGTAGAGTGCTGATAGTGCCGTTGGTAAACTGCAAAGGACGACTATCAGTCAAAGATTCGTTTCCGCCTCACTTACGCCAGTTTCGTTAGCTCTAGGCATGCGCTTGGGGCAGAATTTGAGATGCCTTCGCAAATGTTTAATCCGACAGCACGCAGTAAAGCGACAATAACTCGGTATTCAACGTAAGAAACCAATGTGCTGTAATACAGATTGTAAGGCACGCTCTTGTTCTGCAATTTACCTTGGTGCAGTACTTTGGAGGACTTCAACGATTTTGTCTAGGTGATGAGGCGAGTAAAGCATTACTTCGTCATTTTCCTGCAATGCTAGATTCGGTATGGCCAGCATTTTCGTCAGATACGTTCGCCAACAGATTCCTGAGTACTTCTCCTGAAGCTCTCCAATGGTTCTTTTAACACGGTTAAAAGTCGGTGCGGTTATCTGTGGGTAAATTTTGGAAAACATGCCCTACGTTATTAAATGCTCCGTACATTTGCCAATCGTATTTCTAGCTCCACAATTTTTGTCGCTTCCTTTTCCGTATACGTTAGGTCCTTTGCACCCATACTTTTGGCAACGTAGATTATATTTCTCCTATACTTTTCTATATTGGTGTCATCAAGGCCATTTAGCAAAACGTACTTGGGGGCGACTGTGTCTGGTAAATTAATCTGAAAGATAGAGTCTACAAGCTGTAAACTTTTGGTGGATGGGTACCGTTAAAATATGCTTGTTCTTGTCATAGTAATCGTATGTTACTGAAATGGGCAGATAGGGCTGTGTGATGCCAATGGATCGAAACCTGTAAGATATTTCCGTCCAGTGAAATTTGGAGAAATCTCCATTTCGGACCACTATCCAACCACCGTAGTCCCGTAACAGCTGATTTATGCGACCAAATACCAGTGACGTGTTTGCGAAATTACGCATGCAGCCCTGGTATAAATGCGCTACGAATTTTGAAGAGGTTGCGCAATGTTCCTTTTGGTTTGAGTTTTCATGGACAATAGTTGCCAATTTATCGTTTAGTTGGCGACCTATGTCCATAAATTCGTTCCACAGTGGCACATTTGGTGCCAGGGGGTTGGATATTAGACGATTGCACGTGAACTTGTAGAAGTTATCGCATGGATTTATTGTCTCATCGAAACCAGTATGTAAATATCCAGATAATGACAGACAATCACGCGAGGTACACACATCACTAAGGGTATAACAATCAATGGTAGGTACCCAAAGTGAAGTAGGCGATTAAACTTACGGTTCGTTGGCAAAGTAACCACTGATAAACCATTGAATGTATAAAAATACACCAAAAATGGTTAACGTCATCTTACCTACTAGAGTCTGTATAAGTTGGAACACAACTTTCCTAATAAATCAAAATTATCTATGAAAGTTTGTATTAAGATATGGTAGATAAGAGCTTTGACAAATACTGAAGTGAAATGGTTTCCTCACATTTTTTTAGTACCTATCTGTAATTAATCCAACACCTAGTTCATCTTTTATTCAAAAGATTGACACACCTATGGATGCTAAATAAAATTTAACCCACTCAAAAGAATGGTATCAATGAATTTAAAATTCCACTGCACAATTAATGAAAAAAAAATCACCAAGATTGTTTGCTTGGGTTATTTAAATTAACAAATATGTTCACAGAATAAGCTTCCGTGGGTCCACCTCTTCAGGAATGTTAAAATGACTTGGAGCATAAATTGCTCTCCAAAATCCCCAAAATGATCGACTCTTGTTTTGTACAATGTAAAAATTTTAAAACAACATTTTTCAATGAGTCGAAGTTTTCTTCATATACAGTCGATTTGCCCTTTTGAAAGGTAGCCGCAATTCGGAAAATTGGATAGTGGAACGCCAATACAATTGGACCTTTTGTATCGTCTGGTATAATCACTACTCGTTGAGAGTGAATTTTGAAAGATGGTTGGCGATTTGAATCAGGAACAAACTGGGCTTCAGGTTTCAGGAAGTTAAGTAGTTGAAATTTTGTTTATTCACTGGAATGTTTCCCACAATGGAAATGTCAATGTTCACATTGTGTACTTACTTAGGGTTTGAAAACCAGCAAAAGAACTAATTAATCGTTTTTAAACTTTTTACCGGTTGCCCTTTAATGCAGAATTTTATTATCGCCCTAAAGCGACCGTCTGTTACACTTTGACGATGCATTTCATTGCACAGTTCTTTGTGTTTCAAGTGGCAATTGTGGTTCATTTTTGAAATTTTATTTCTATTAACTCAATGAGCATAGTTAACTATCTGATGACGGGGGTTTTAGTGAATTGTGTCTGCTTTGAAAGGAACTCATCATATTTACGTATAGTGGTATAGTAGCTACTCTTAATTATAGTTCAAGGGCTTTCAAAAAAGTATCTCCATGCTATAAAAAAAAAGAAAGCTACTTTGCGTAATAATACTGCCAGAGGAACCGAAATTTTAATCCCTTACAAGAATTTCTGAGATTATTGTACTGAAACAGTTCAGCCATAAGACATAAAAGCTCAGTAGACCAGTTGGCGCAATTCATTTTGACGTGTAGTACGTCAGTACCTTGCTGTAAATTCAAAATGTTATAAAATCATTTTTACGATGTCAATACCGCGTAGAACAATCACCAAAACAGTTCGTCAATATGGCAACACCACCGAAACTACGATCACGAGAATCTCATCAACGGACACACGACCTTCCACCTCAAGAATACCGCAGACAATGTCAAGACTTCCCGTACCCAGAGTTGCTAATCAAACGAGCGCCAGCAGCGTTGCAACGAGTAAAACACCTGGAGGTATGGCGACAAAACCTACACACCTACCGAAACCGAAGGCACCACCACCTCAACCTGCACCTCGGGTAATACAGCCGTCAGGCCCGCGCCAAAGGGGACAGCCCGCCCCATTGACGACCATGAAAAATCCTTTTGGCGGACAAGCCAGAAAAACGGCACCACCTCCTCCTAGACCGCCAACACAACGAGCTCCAGCTTTAAATGTGTACCAAGTACCCCAAACCACTCGTGGCGCGGTCCCAAAGTAGCCGTTAATTATCAATCGCTGACATTAAAAATCAAATTTTAGGGTATCAGTTAAAACAGTCAAAACCCAAAAGGTTGAGACTATGGGCAAGGGAAAGAGAACTGTAACCAAAGTCACAAAGACCATTAAACCGCGAGCGCCCGATGCCGACGGTAAGCAACGTTATCAATCGTCCCTCACTTACTGGATCAATTTTAGAAAATGCGGACCAACCATCTCCTCTTAAAACTCCACCAGCAGGTGCGCTTACCAGTAAAATACATCCATTTTAGTTGCCCTTTTAGGTCCCAGCAATGATGATCAGGAGGTGCCCGCAGGTAATGGAAACGCAAAATGCGTTAATCTTGAACTATGAGTTTAGACTTTTCCTTTGGATTTCCTTCGCCGAGTGCGTCGATTGAGAGATTAGTGGAAAAGGAGCTGATGAGGAATGCAAGTATGAGCCCAGGTGCTCCAGTTCGAGCCAAAGGTAGTAGGCGGACAGATACAAGCGCGCCCGTGTTGCAAACACCAGATGGAGATGTTGAAAGTAGCATTCAGATCAGTTTAAATAGGCAAGTTGAGAGAACTCCGGACGTTGAGTACATTAAAAGGTACATGGCGGGCGTGGAGGTTGACGAACAAGGTGCTGCTAAAAAATATGAATATAGCATACAGGATATGTAAGTATAATTAAGAAAGTCCCACTTGCTTAGTGTGGATTTGTAGGGAACCTTCTAGTGGAATAGGGCCGCGATCGGATGGGGTATGGTTGAATTTTGGGTGGCAGATTCAATTTTAATGTCTTCGTAGGTGGTGCCTTTGCGTGAAATAATATCGGTTAAAAGCACTGTGGCGTTTGCTCCGGGTGTTAAAGTTAAGGAAAATACGACCGTCTATGAAAGCGTTGAGCCAGATCCGGTCCAGATATCCCAGTTGGTTGAGGAGGAGGCCATGGACGTTGAGAAGATGCGCTTTGTACAGCCGCCCGATTTGAAAGGGTCCATGTCCAGCGTTTACGGTTTGAAGAAAAAATTGCAGAAAATGCAGTTGTCTCCCGAAGCCGTTCGTCAATTGGAAACCGTAAGTATTTCAATCGATAGAATGATATTACAGTTGAAAAATTAAGTCGATGGAGCGACATCCTCCAATTTCGGCCGATGAACCACCGGCGGAAGTGCAACCAGAATTAATGGCAGCGATTATGCATACGGAGGAGAAAGGATTGAGTATGGAATCACCACCTGCCAATGTGTGTAATTTCCTATTTCCTGACGCCAAGGATGATCTGACGATTAAAGTCAAGTAAGCATGTTAGGTTCTGGATGTTGATTTCACTTGGTTTCCTTGAGTGAAGTAACAACATCCAACCCATGGATCTGACCCATTTTATGTCTTGTTACATGTGATATATAGAACAATTGTGCAAAGTTTGAACTGAATTGGACTAAGCGTTCGGAGAGACAGACAGACGGACACCGTGGACTCCCCTATAATAAAGTTAGCATCGCTTTGCTCTGTCGGCAAATAAACCTCTTACGTAGATCTAAAAAAGGGGCAGAGCATCTCTGTGTGATCCTACAAGGTCATTGGATTTGACCCATTTTCATTAGATTTGTTACATGTAGTATAAAGGTGAAGTGTACAAAGTTTGAACCCATCGACTCCCCTATATAGCTAGCATCGTTTTGCTATGCTGCTTAGTGTACCCCTAAAGCGGATCTAAAAAAGCGACAGCGACAGACCCTATGGGGTCATCGGATTTGACTCATTTTCAATTGGCTGGTTTACATTTGGTATACAGGCTGATTCAAATTCGAGGGCCACTATGGGGATCTCGGAAACTGTAAGAGGTAGGTAGGTAGCTTAAATTTGGCAAAGTTGCGTATTTTTATGCTTAGCAAAATGCCGTTTTGAGTCACCTATGGTGGCCCTCGAATTTGAATCAGCCTGTATAGCAGGGGTGCACTGGTAAATTGCACAGTACCGGAACGCGTTAATTAATTTTATTATTTTTAGCGCCTCGAAGTCTGCGTGCTAGGTCAAATTACGTCCTTATTAATAGCTATATAAGGATACATTTCTGAGTAAGCATGAGATAAACTGGAATTTAATTGGACGTAGACATTTTATTCAGTAATTAAAGAGGGGATCATTCAAAGTTGAAAAAACAGATACCTAGATGAAGTTTCTCATCAATCGGGGGGAGATCACAAGATTTCAAAAATTCAAAATTTAGATTTTGAGAGTAAAAGAATGGAATTAGTTTAGTTATTGTGTCTCTCGAACGATAATTTCGAATCATAAGGGCAATTCGCGAAAAATAAAGGTGTAATGTAAAATTTTCGGAATAGTTATCAGCCGGAGAAGGTGGGTTTTTAATATACACAAAGAATTACCAAACTGATATACCAAACAGTAAACTTAAAATTCTAAAAAACTTAAATAAAAGAAAGTAAATGTGCTGACCGAGCAAATCGTCATTACCTACACCTTAAAGAAAAACGGAATTAGGATTCGTGGCGTATTTAACTAAATCGCGGGAGACGTTTAATTAAACAGTAGGTACTTACATAAGAGTGGCAAAATTGTAACTAAAACTGTCGATAGTTTCAATTATAAATTCAGTTCAATTGGCCTTATTGTAGGTAATTACAACCGCAATTTGAAGCAAGTGCTTATAGAGAAGAAGAATAATAAACAGTAGCAAAGTTCAGTAAACGGAATCAGAAGAATTCAATATCGACGGGTTGCCATATGCATTTTCCTTGAAAATTTGTAACCAGTATACATTGTGCACAACTCTTGTGCAGATGAAGCGCATTTTTTAAAACCGAAATAGCTTTTGTTTTGACATCACCAATGGGTATATTTCTTGCAGACGTCCCAATCGCCCTTTGTGACTACCCTCTTCCGACAATCCGTTCTTGAGGTATAAGGGAATATACCAGATCACGATAAGAGGTCGAGGAGGAGGAGGACTACGGTTGGTAGAAATTAATTTCTTTCGTCAAGACCTTTCATTAGAGTACCATCAAGGATAAAACTAGTTCTACTCCCCCCTCCACCCCGTTCTTTGGTAAGAGGACAGAAAGAAGTAGGGCAGTAGTTGGTAGAAAACGGTTCCTTTCGTTGAGATATAGTTTGTACAAACCAATTTATTTCGATGAGATCTTTCATTAGAATACCATGAAGGGTAGAACATGTGTTTACCCCCCCCCTCCCCCCCATTTTCAAAAGTTTGACTTGGCACCACTAAAGGCATGCGTATGCAAAATCTGAGACCAATTGGTTGTCGTATGTAAAAGCTATGCACGTTTTACTTTCAAAAACAGCATCTCAGTAAATAATTTGGTGGGGGGGTCCCCCTTTTAGACAGCGAAATTTGATGGTCGTCTGGCACACCTTCAAGGTATAGGCTACTACCTACTGCAGAAAATTCCAGGACTCTAGGGCCATTCCCCTAGAAGTAGTCAAAACGGTAGAAGTGGGTCCGGACGGACGGACAAAACGCAAACAATAGCACATTTTTTTAATTTTTAAAAAATGCGCTAAGAAAAGTTGCTATACTATGCTATATAGTGATATAATTTTTTTATTTGGGTGCAAATTTAACAACAAACAGTTGTTTTTTTACCACAAACCAGTACCGGAACGGGGCTCCGGCGCGTTCCGGCACTAATGCACTTCTGTAACTATGCAAGAAGTGGGTGATAATCACGAAAAATGAAATTGTTCCCTAATTTATCCCAATATATAAAAAGTACTGAATGTTTTCTTGTTAGCGCCAGTATTAGCGAACAGCTACCTACTTTACCAATAACGCCTTGAAATTTTTGAACCTGTACGCAGGGGCGGACTGGCACGGGGGGGGGGGTGGCGATTGCCACCTGGCCTGTAGATCATAATGGCCCGTTGGATATTTATAAGTATGTGCTGTATTTAGTTTCTTGCACTATTAATAAATTATTAACACGTTTCTCTAATTGGGGTTGATGTGATTGAAGTGTTTTACAATGAATTTATCATTTTTTGTCGTAGCATGAAAGTGCTGAAATACAATGATAGGCGACGCACCTCGTGTGGATTGTATATTTTGTTACTTTTAATTATCAGCTGCAATTTAAAAAAAAACTGTATGGTAATTTATATTCGAGAAAGGAGTACTTTAAAATGTTTTTGTGGTGCACATCAGAGCTAACCCCCCGTCACCATCATTACTACACTAATACTTTAATGGCCCGTAACCTATGCAATTCCACCTGGCCCGCAGTTACCCAGTCCGCCCCTGCCTATACGTCCGCCCGTCTGTTTGGCACGATAACTTCAAAGTAAGTATTGGGTCATTTTAGTCTGGGAAAAATTTCGGCAAATGACATGGGGTCAAATTGGTGTATGGTGGCAAAGGAGTGCTCTTTTTGGAATCCATTATTTCCCATTTGATCCTTTTGTATGTCCGCTGGCATGAGGCCTGATGGGTCAGACAGAGAATGAAGAAAACGAACTAAAAAATAGACCAATTTTTCTCGCCAATAGGTTATACCCTCATTTTATTGTCCTCTGCTACAAGTTTATTCTCACTCTAGACGAGATAAAAATATGCAAAACGATAATAAATAATATATATCATAAACAAAAAAACCTTGCAAATACAGACACTTTGAATCAGTTACAAAAACGCATTTATTTCAACATATTAAATTACACTATAAACTGGATTATTGAAATGGTTTTAGAGATTTTTTAAAACTTTCAATGTCTTCAATAAAGTAAGACTCTGTTCTATTTCCAGCAATTTCAGTCAGGTCTTGTAGGTACTTTATTGATAAATTGCTGGCACTTGTATCACCTAAAACGACAAAATAAGTTTTGTTCTCAAACTTTGATAAACTCACAGTTGGTGTCCTCGCTGAACGTATTTAAAGGTGATTTGCTATGGTGTGCTTTACCATGCGCTCGAATTTTCCCAACTTTCAAAGGTGAAACCTCCTTTGGATCATCCGTCGCATCCTGAACAACTTTTGGTGGGTGACCTACAACCTAAAAATTCTACTTTAAAAGTCTTGTTCTGTGGAGGATACTCCTACCTGCATGCTCAGTTTCTTGTGCGTACCCTGCTGCCCCATATTATGAGTTTTCCAAAAATTCTTCACCTCCTGCATTTTTAAACTTTCAATCGCCTTTATCTCCAACAACAGCCTGTTAAACTTGTACTTGCAATTCACTATCTCGTCCCAATTTCTATCAATCTCATCCTCTAAGTCGACATCGACACACTGCTTAACCTTAATTAAGTCCTTTTTGGCTCGTTGGAACTTTTTTTCCGACAATGTCATCACGACACCTTGACTCTGTTCCAAGTAATTCTCGATTCTTGCGTCGACATGCTGTGTCGTATACTTATTCGCTTGGGTGCTCACGCTGACCGTGTATCCTAAAATGCCATAAGTGTCGCGAAGTGAGCAGTCAACTTTGTAGCCTAGCTGTTCCTTTGTGCGCAGAGTGTCAAACAGTGGCTCCTCAACTAAAAGCTAAAATGATACGATTGTAAATAATCAAATGATGCGTGTAACGTTTACCAGTATTAACTCGAGGATAACAGTGTTTTTAATGTGCGATATGCCACACTGGTAGTAGTTTGTAATGACCGAATTCGAATTATCTTCATTGATCGATTCAATTCTGCAGCAGTGCTCTCCGAGTGGCAATTCATTTATGATAATCTGCGTAAATTTTAACAATTATATTTTCAGTGTATCACCAAGTGGTTAACTGTTGTAATTGACATACCAAAACTGAATTGATTTAGGTTTAGTTATTTTAGTGTCGATCTAAAATATTCTAGAATAATATTCTGTAGTCCTAAATTTACAAATCGTTTGGTATGTGGACTCAACAATGGGATTGCCCATTTATACCTTGGGACGGTCAGCTTCGCCTAGTGGGCTTGGATTTATACTGCATAAAAGTGACTTTGTTGCATCTAAAGCGGTTGCACTGGTGACATTGCCCTGCACAAGTCCTTGAACATAAAGATTTTTCAACACATCATCACTGAACTGCCTCATTTGGTCGTAAGTAATAGCGAATGTTGCTCGATGTTTTTCCGCGTGTGAGAAGTAATTTTGTTGCAGAACACTTAAACGAAGATCTCTGTAATTGACAAATTTAATTTCCGAAACACTGCACGCTACTGAAACCAACTTGCATAGTTTCGATGGTTTTATAATCGCATTGTAATACGATTTCCTCAACTTTTCCTTTATGGCATCGAACAGGGGTTCTGAGAAAGTTTGAGATACGTTTTTCAAGCACTTTCCCACCAGTTCTATAAGTAACTAAAAGAAACCGTGTAATGTGTGCAAAGGGACAGAGGGCTTACGTTTAATTTTTCATTGTACCCCGAGATTTTAATGGCGAGTCCTTTCTCGCCCGCAATAATCTCAAATTCTAAGTCGGCTAACAAGGCATCATATCCTTCTTCTGCAAAATTCATTTGCACCAAAATTGCGTACATTTCCATCATACAAGTACTGAATAGTAGGTGTAATGTAGTCGCCCTCTCTGAACCACCACCCGTTACTCACCTTGCTGCCGACTTCAACGCTAAAGGCGAGATCAAATAGTAATAGTAGTAAGCTAACGGGAGTTCAAATTTATCATCCTTCCGATACCATAATTCAATCAAGGGTGAGTCCAATACCTTCTCCGGATACTTGGATAAGTTTTTCTGTTTGGGTAAGATGGAGAAATCGGTCGTTACGAAAGGGTTGGGGCCGGGTAGGCTGAATTCTGGTAAGGGCTTTGCGTTTTTCCAACATTCCAACCAATCGGAGGGGATATCTATGTGTATACAATTAATTAGGAAGTTTTGTTAATGTTGGCTTCACTTACCTATGGCTTTGTATTGAGTTTTGAACCATGGTTCGATTTGATCGTATACAATATTCGTTGGAACATCAGCGGAACTGATCATCACATTCATTTTGGTTGGAACCAAATTGTTTAGTACCATGGTTATAGCCTTAAATAGAAACATTAAGCAAAGAGTAACCATAATTTACTCTTTGCATTAAGCATAGGTACCCAGACTTATCGAGTATAGCCAGCAGTTTCCGATAACCTTGTCACAACCCCAAATTCTAATTTTTGCCATGAATAATTCCACACGTGTGCATATTTTGCGCTCCTCAAAATTACTGCCATTTTTACAGAGGCATTATGTGCTCTTGTCTAATTTTATGAAAAAGAACCGCAAAGTGTTTACAGATCTTGGTTGTCTTGTGGGCATTCTAAAGGGGACGATCAACTAAATACGTTTATTTGTTTATTTAGATTCACATGCTTAATTGCAAACGTGAAATTGCTTGTTAAAATGTAGGGACCTCTGGTCAAGTTTGCGTACGTATCTATGTTTTACAATAATGAGTGTAATTTGACGCGACGAGACGGGTAGAATTGACACGTCCACCTGCAGGTGTGTTCCTACCTTAAGGTGAATTTTGCTGCAGCCCTATCAGTGCATGCAACGAATATGATGCCAGAATATTGTATTTGTTAAGCAACGCGATATTGAGAGCAGCTACTCTGAACGTCCAGCCGTCCGTCCGTACTACGATATCTCAAAAACGCTCAAATTTAGTAATTTTTCCAAAAATTGTGTTAGTATATTATTTATGACAGGACGCTTATGCACACCGCGAATTAGGTCATTACATAGTACACTTTTTGAAAAGGGAATGAAATCAGAAGCAGGAGTTGTAACTGGGAAACACAGCACTCTAAACTTACATCAGGGTCATAATCAAATACCAAAGTATCTCCCGTTAAATAGTCTTTCGAAGGAAAATATTGCATATGCTCGACTAAATCTTCAACATTATCAGCAGCGGTCTCTTCCTCTTCGAACCTAAACGAAGTTTCGCCAATCGACTGCATTTCTCTAAAGATTCTCTCACTTGGTCCATTAATTTTTAATAAATTTATGTAGGAAAAAACAGATTCAACAACCTGTAATCAAAATGAGTTTATCGCTCGGGAACTGTGTGACTTACATCCTTTATATTGCTAAAACCTTCTCTGGTCAGCACTAAACTGATCGTAAATGTTGCATATATCGAATTATATTCCGCGCCCGATTCCTCGTTAGCTGCGCTTAAGGAGAGTACCCAGACCCTAAATAAAACACCATTAAAACTTTGACACAGCTGTTAACACTCACATACTTCTTCTTCAGGTACGAATACAAGCTATTTTTGCCTTCATAACCCAATATCCATGACAGGTAGACATGAGGTTTAACACGATACAAACGTATTAATGAGGGTAAATAAAACGTTAAGTCCACCTATACGCAGACATGTCAATTAGAAGAATGAAGTTAAGCTACTATTACCTACCTGACAAATATCCTTTACCGGTTTTACGTAATACAACTGACGAAATTTGGGAGTATCGAATGTATCACCAATCAACGTTTTAAAATCGTCAGGTGGTAACCCATTGTTGGGAATAGGCGAAAAACAATCGACAAGCAACTTTTCCAATGTAGCAATCGGCAACCTAGCCTAAAGCAATGCATTAGATAGAGGCGAGTGCTTATGATACCAAGACCGTAGAGATATAGTTCGCGTATATTTAAAAATTAAAAAAAAGTGCGCTTGTTTTCATTTTGTCTGTCTGTCCGGACTTACTTTTGCGGTTTTGAACTACTGAATTCAGAGGAATCGCCTGGAATGAATAATGACGGGACACCCTGTATATGCGATAAGGAGTTTTATCAGGCGACATAACGAAGAGATAAGGTGTTGCGAAAAGTTGCGCGTTTCTTGTTGGAGAAGTGGGGATGTTTGGCGCGTTTCGTTGTGATTGGCGAGTTACTTGAACACTTTTCTTTTTAATTATCGACCGTGTGCGTGCGGGGTAATATGCCCAAACAAGCTTTGTAAGTGTAAGTTTCATCTGTTTAAGGGAAGGTGTTGTCCTTGTACCTACCCTACCCCCCATGTGGAAAAAATTTATGAATAATATATTTGGCAACCTTGCCATAATCTATATTCCAGTTTCATCAAAGGTATCTGTAATTTTTATAATTATTTTCATGTCTAGGGTCCTCTTGGTGTTCAATTCTTAAGTACACCCTCTGCGACTGGGATTATTACACGGTAATAAAAAGCAGAATCTCATTTACTCTTTGGTCTTAGTATCACGAGCGAATCCAGCCATTTGACATTACCTGTATCGCAACAGTCATGCGATGCGCCGAGTAGTGTCGCTTACGAAATTCATGCAGCATTTCGTACAACCGGTCATCGCTTACATTGTCTTTCAATGTGATAAGGTTGCCCCACGAAAACGAATTGACTGGTGAGGAATCCTGAGCCATACTAACTATCAACTGCTCCTTTCGAAAATCATCCGAAGGGACAGCAAGCTGAAACTCTATCATTCGATGAGTATTTCAATTGCACACCTACGAAGAGTACCCGATTCGACAGCCTCCCGTTCGCGAGTCATCGAATCTCGTTTCATGAGTGGCGAGATAAAAAATTGTGCCAACTTATGTAGTGCGGTTGGCAGATGTTTTTCGAAACATTCAAAGTGAAAGGTTGTTACTTCATAATCGGTTGATGCGTTATTGAAACCACCGTGTTTCTGCAATTATACGTTAAGTACGAAAGCTGTACCATTAAATGAGAGCGCTCTACACTGATGAACGAATCGAAATCATTCTCTTCGGGATATTTTTCACTTCCCATGAAGACCATGTGCTCTAAGAAATGTGCCAGACCCGGAATCTCCCTGGGATCACTCATACTTCCGACTCCCACGCACAAAGCCGCGCCCGCCTAGAATTTATGGATAAGCTATTTGCACATAGTACGCGTATGTATAAAGATCGTCAGTACATCAGTACTACCATTTGGGTACTATCGCAGATTGACAAAAATTTCGGCTACACCGGATATCTATAACCAGCATAAATTAATTTAAAATTGAAATGGTCAAAATATTCTGGACACCCTGTATAGGTATTTCTGTATGGGTCAAGTTGTTAGTGTTGGGAATAGCAATGTCTATTATGCATGTTTAGTTATACCTAAGTGTAATGTCTGGTTCTATCCCAATATAATTTATGTCTGTTGTTTTCAAGTATTATCTGTGGAGTATATTTGTGGTATGGTGCCTTATCTGTTTAAGAGCTAATTTTTGATGTATGATTCTAGCTACATGATTTTGTGTCGATGTTTGTATCCAGTTTGTGCAAGTCATGTGTCAGTGTTTTTGTTTTTTCTAGTTGCGTGTGTTAATGACCTGGTTTTGTATTGCTAACATGAATAAACCTTCAGTCTCGCCTTCATAGTCTTTAGGAAGATATCGTATATTATTATTTTTGAAAGCAGAGATGCTTGTAAAACTTATATTAAACCATATGTGGCCAACTTAAGTAGACACACTGTATATTTAGTACTGAGAAAGTACAAAATAGTACTAATTGTCAATATCTAATGTACCGACAAGTGGCTCCACCCTGTACATCAAATGTTGGAAACTGTTAGGTAACAGAATTGTTTTCCAGTACTCAAAACTGATGTACTGTCTACCTTAATGAGTACTGTAACAGTGTACTATACCATTTTTGTTTCTCTGTCCGAAGATTTTGATTTGGTACCCGCCTCACTGTCCGACGAATCGCTATCCACCTCCGATTCGGTAGTCACAGTCTCATCTGTTTCTGAGCCGCTATCGTCAGAGGAATCAGAATCGTCGTCTCCCATCACGTCAGATATTAAGCATGCAGTTAAGCCGTTTTGCAACTGTATCACTCTAAAATGTCGAGTTATTAGTTATAGACCTGCAGTATGGGGGCACAGTACTTATAATCCTTTTTGTCATTTGCACTTTTCGTAGGCGGTTCTAACACCTTGAAATTAATTTTGGTCTGCGAGACTTTCGGTTTACCGACAGCCTTTCCAGGCTTTCCCTTTTTGAAAGTTGACTTTCTCATTGTCTGGGTCTGTCGTTTAAAGTTAGCAAATAAGGAATAATACAAATTTAATTTCCACAACCTAACCATGAACCTAACCTAGAATTTTCTTTATCTACAGGGTGGCCGGTGGATTCTTATCATAGATTCTTATAGTATCTGTCCTATAAATTTGAGCTAACCTAACGACTATTGTCAAATGTCAGTATACAATGCTAATTTTTCTCCATCCTTCCTGATCTTCAGCCATTCTTTTCCATGCGATGAAGTAGATGGCACCACCCGTGTCTATTTAGTCGTTGTATTCCAACCGTGGTCTGGCTCTAAAATTTGTAGTTTCCACAACACTTGATCATGAGTAATGTCTCAAAGCAATGCTCTTACATTTTTATTGTCGAGTCAAGGTTTTTTCCAAATTACAGTCGAAAAAAAAGGTAGCAGCAATTCGGAAAATTGGATGCTGCAACGCCTTATGCAATACAATTGAACTTTTTGTATCGCCTGGTAATTTCAAGATTTTTGAGAAAGGTGCTCATATTTTCGGAACTGTTTCACTGTACACAATTTTCAACTAATTTGTCGACAGAGTCTTTTCTCTTATATACTGAATGTTTACATAAGTAACATATCGGTTTTGTTTCAGACCCGTGGCTCCCAGTCCAATGCAAAAAGTCGTGGTACCAGAAGACGTGCCTTCTTCCGTGTTAACCGAATCCGTTCCACCTGAAATCGAGCATTTAGCTACGCGCGCAAGAGATTGCAATGCTAGATCGCCAACTGATAATATATACTCTACTCGCGTGCTACAAGGAAAGACGAGGCCGAAAATTAACAACACTGCTAAGCGAGGTTTTTCCTGACTTCCATTATTTGCTATTAATCAATCATTTGTTTACAGGACAAGCTGAAAGACGCGGATATCCTGTGTATATAAGCGATGAAAAACCGCCGTGGGGCGTTGAAGGTGCGTTAATAAAAGTGTTTGGAATAACATTTTTGATTTTTTTACTAGAACTGCAACCGATTATGGACCTGGCAGGTGCCGCTCCGTCAAGTCAGGCGCAGCGGGTCGATACTTTAAATGTTTCTGATAACGTTCCGCTATTCTACCACAATGAAGACGAGAACGTACTGGAATACCATTTAATACCACAACCACCCAGATTTACCTCGCACGTTCAACTTCGTGGATCCCAAAAGCCATCGTGGTTTCCAGGTACCAATGCCAGCAACTAGGAATGTGAGAAACTACGGAATGTGTTTCAGGTTTTTGTATTGCATTGCCTGATAATATTCGCGTGGTAACGACCCCATGCGACGTTCTACCTGCAGCCTGGCAAGCGGTTCAACCTGACATCTTTTCCGATGAAAGCTTCTTGATCGTTGGATGAAATTGAAATATTTAAGTAAACGATGCGGAAATAAATGTGCGTTTTATTGTCAACACATTTCTTGCTTCTCCACGAAAAATTATTACAGGGTGTTGGTACTCATCAAAATACTCAGGTAAACTTTCGTAATTTAATAACATCGGAAATAAATTTGCATTTTATTGTCGACACATTGCCTTTATTAAGCATTTACTAATTGTTCTTTATAGACCTTTGTTGTACCATAACGTGTGAGGAAGTTCCGGTCCAAATTTCTGCTTCAACTTTTCCTACGAATTGCACATATAAGTAATCACCCGACATCCCCACCGCCAGTTTATTACCTTTATATCATCTTCTAAGTTATCATATTTGATTTCGGCTCGTTGCTTGAACACTGCACACGCTAATGGTGTTGCAAATGTTAGGCACAGACCAACCAAGGATACTTGTATGGGAAGTGTCATCCATGGTAGTCGGCGTAAGATTCCCTTCCGTTCCAAACGATTCATGACAAATGGAACTAATACTGAAATGACAAAGAATGTGATTTACAATGGCCTAGGGGGGTGTTGTAACGTACCCATGCCTGGTGCTGCCATGGCTATTCGACTGAAAGTAACCTGAATAATACCATCACGCGCAGCTCGCTGGGATACGCCAATTCTGTTGTCGTTTTTATCGTAAACCGGAGTACCGTCTATTAATTCTCTGGAAGAAACTTTTGTAATACTTTATACAATTTCTAATTTTTCTTACTGAGATCGCATTAGAGGTATATTGACGCAATTGGCAGCTGCAACCGCTGCAAATGGCACTAGCCTACCAACGATAGGAGAAGCATTCTGAAACGAATTAGTTTAATGTGGTTGATGTTGAAATGTGTGATTACCTACCTTTACTAATCGGTTAAGACCCAAAGCTGTTACTAAAGCGCCGCCAGTTGCACAAGCGTAAGATGTCAGAAGATGACTGCAAAAAATACAATGTTTGTGAATATCATAATTACAACGAGTAACGCGATATGGTACCACGCGAAAATTAAAATGAAATGACCGCTTTTGGCAAAACCAAGAGCACCCTGTGATCACCATCACCATGAAATTTCAACCCAATTAACTTTAGGTTTAGGCCTTGAGTGCCTTTTTGTACAAATAATTGAAATTTACCAATTTTTGTGCGCGAATTTAGAGCCGGGTAAAAAGAAAATTAGGTACTCGACCAATCCTGGACTGTGTGTTCAGGTATTTATTGCACCCCACTTCTTCTAGCAATAATTTATTGGTTTTTGCCCTTAATAAGTACATAAATAGCTCACAACGAATTTTACTGAACCATCAAATAAGTAATAAGTTTACTAATCCAAGGCTGGAATTCAAAAACAAATCTAAATATTTAACGAAATCAATAGGAAACGGGGCGGTTGTACTTTCCAATATCTCGTTGGAAAAACAAGCAGTAAAGCACGATAATTTTTATTGACCTAGTAGGGATTTGTACAGGAACTGATGTATGGTCGTTTTTTTCATCTTCCATCAATCATTTTTTACCACCCGCACGTTAGTAAGGGAGGTATTGCATTGGGGTAAAAACTGGCCCCACTATTTTTTTTACGGAAATACACGTTTTGGAGAAGGCAAAATTCATCTCCTTGCCAAACATTCTTTTTCTTCTCGACATCTTTTTTTATTAAAGCAAATCCTAACCCAGATCATCCTTTCATTAGCCGCTTGGGACCCTTTAGAATGTGAAAAAACCGTAAGTCCATCAAATATTCCTATCAGGATTCAGCATTATTAATAACGCCGTAATGTTAGAAATAATCTTTTTTTTGGGCTGAGATAATCACATAATAAATCAATTTGCCTCATACACTCCTTGATTTATAATTGATTTTTCATTTATATGACTTTTTAGGGCCCCAAACTTGACGACTAGTATTGTGCTACGTTCTGCACATGAAAATCTATTTGAAAAAGTACATATTATGTAGAGTACCATTTTTTATTACAAATACCACGGTGTACGGCACTCACAAAAAAAAACAAAAGTTGGAAACTGTTGGTTTCAACAGGACGGTGCACTCGCGCACGACGGCATAACCGTGCGAGAATGCCTATCGGTCAAATTCCGGGAAAATGGAAAATATGCCCCATAGGTATTCTCGCACAATTAGGGCGATGTGTGCGAGTGCACCATCCTGTTTTCCAACTTGCTCTGTACTAAAAATTATGGGGGTAACCAAGCAAAAAAAATCATAATGGGGGTGATTTCGTAAGGGGGTAAATCGGCAAATTTCGGTTTTTCTGACATATCTTCCGAAGTAATCGGAATTTGCCGGTTTTCTTTAAAGCCTGATAATAACTCCCAATAATAAACCGATACAACGAAATATCGAAGGATCCTCAGTATTACCACAGATAATCTGTGGTATTACAATCACTTTTAACTACAATTTATTTTAATCTTACATAATACATTTTATAGTTAACAAAAATGCATCAAATTCATGTCTTGCTCATTGAGATAATGCTCTTAATCTTGTTCCCAACGATATCAATGCAAGAATAACGATTTTGACATGTTTTGATCAAAATCCACGTGGTCGCCAAAAATGCACCAAATTCATGTCTTGGGCATTGAGGTAATGCTCTTGGTCTTTTTCCCAACGATCTTGCTGCATAAATAACGATTTTGACGTATTTCGATCAAAATCGATGTGGCCTCAGAAAAATAATTTAACATCTTTGAATCACACACATGCGGTTATCAAATGTGCACGCTCTTTCAGCAACAAGATAATGCGTTTGAAAGCTTTTACAACTCCAAATTTGAGTAATTTTTGCGCCCCTTGTTGTATGCGCCGTAAGCGGAGGGTTACACCGCTTGCACCTAAAGCCGGCCCTGATTACCCACCCCACCTCAGGACTGCAACGAATACAAGAAGCAATTTCTCCCAGAATGCTCAGAAATTTTGTTCAGGCTTTTCATTGTATGTTAGGCCACAGCCGTACATTTTGACCACTTATTAGTGCGATGAAAACCATTTTCTTGTTAATTTCGTTTTGTCTTCAATTTTAATAGGATACCTACACGTTCATTTGTTTTATTTTGTTGTAAGATATAGAAAATTTTTCTTGTATAAGGGTACTAACATGTTATGTCATCGAAAAGACAAAAAACCTCTATCAAATGAGCCTAATGAAAGAGAATATGCTATTTAAACAAGTTGTAAATCAGCATATGCGGATGATGAAAGCGCATTTTTGGTAATACATATTAGTATCTTATATTAGCAAAGTTAAAAATTATCGATCTCACTCTCAATTGTAATTGCTGAGATCTCAGCCAGACAGCCAGCCATAATGAATATAATACAAAAATGCGCTAAAAACTCCATCAGTTACGTATTATACCAATTGCGACATACCCCAACCATTGAATAAAAAATTAAGTTTATTCAATTCCCCAACAGAATAACAGGAAACCTACGATCATTCCTTTCTTTTATTTACCCCGTTAGACAGTCAGTACCCAGCAATAATTTTATGTGACGAATATATACCCCATTACAAGGTTATAATGGGGAAAGTACCACTTTGTACTTGTAGTGGTAATCTGGTAATATGTTTTTTGAGTTGCAAGGTATTTGATAGTATAGGTAGATGACAAGGACTAAGACAATAAAAGTATTCTGCAAACTAAACGAATCACTCCATTTAAATTTTGCGAGGGTGGTCAGGGATCAACAGATTAGGGCGAGTTTCAATGTAAAAGTATTTCGAAAATCATTTTTAACTACTGTTTTAATTTTGGTTCAATCGTTCTCGTAGGTTTTGAAATTTATTTTCGTAACGGCCCAAAGCACTCTCCATTTGGTGAATTACTGATTTCAGGTGTCTTTATAAAATAACCGCTGTTGATTTATTTCCTTATAACCCCAATCGAGATATCTTTTTTTTACAAATTTTGATTAAGACCGATTGTGTTTAAACCTCTTGCGTTGGGTGGGCGCTTAAAAAAGGAATCGTTGAAGTTGAAGATGCATCTCAAAAAGCTGCGTGGACGGCGAATATTTTAAATGAAATTATTTAGTTTTTTTAAAGGACATTGGGAAAACCCGAACGACGTTCGGCGTAATAAGCGATTAAGTATCAATATACCTATCGACTGCTGCGAAAATCTTTCTTTTCACGGAGGGATTTGGTGAGCGAGTGCACGCTTTTCAATATTTATCTTCATTACGAACAGGTGGGTACGTTAATTAATTTCTTATCGGTTTATTCTCTGCATTTTAGACTTTCGTAACTATGGTAATACTTGATCCTTGTTTGCGCGCATTCGCAATGCAAGAACCACAATCATTGCTGAGCTTGTTAAGAAGATTTGGGGATACTGTCCACCAGTGCTAGGTCCGTTAATAGCATTTTTGATCCTGTAATTACTAACAGGTCATGTGTTAATACCGTTTTATCTTCACAGTGGAAACTTTTACCGAAGAAAGTAGAAACAACTATAAGTGTCACCGTAGTTGGTGAAGAATTGAATGTTTACGAGCTGGAAGTCGAAAAATGCCAACATCTGGAGGACGAAAATTTTCAACTCGCATGGCCGACACGTTTTGGGATAATTGGTACGTCTTTTCATTGTTTTTGGTAAACATTGATAAGTGCATCTGTGGTGCTGATTTTTAATTTTAGCCCTTTTTAAGAATAAATGATTGAGACCGCGTTTTTCCTTCTAAGCGCCACACAGTAATGCCTTCGTCTATTTTGTTGTATGTCTGTCTGCCTGTACACGATGAAACTTCGCTTCTATACCACGTACCGGCTTTTCGTTAACCTTAACATCTTCCGAATTTTATTTATTTTTATCGACAGACCGCGTTTAGGTTACAATGATTACACCGTCATAGTGTGATTTCAGAAATATGTCTGTGTCTGTATTAAGTATTGCAAATATCTGCACGAATTCCCTCCGTCTAGCTGTGGATTTAAGACTATGAGACTGTGTATAAGTAGATATGTGCTTTGACATGTAGTTAGAATGGAGGTAGAGAAAAAAATTACAAAAAATCCCCCGTGTACGCAAATGTATCCAGCTTCTTATTAAAAAATATTTGCAGATACTTAGTAGGAGACAACAGATAACAAAATCTTCATGGCATCACATCACATGGCCGACTATTTAAAAACCGTAGTAGGGTTTTTATCATGGCTAAAATTAAAAAAAAAAGGTTGTGATGTATCAATGTAATCAGGAAAAAAATGCAAAAAAATTTACGTTTGTCGGCAGGGTATATTGCATTTAAAAAATACTAACTTTGGGTCAAATCTCAGAAAAAGTGGCCCAAACATTTTTTTGACTTGTTTTGATTGTGTCTATCCTATTGCAAACCTTTAGGGGAAGGACACACGTTTGGTCCCAGAAAGTAAAAATTTTGGCTTCGCAATGTTTGTCGGCATGTGGATCGAGACAGTGGTACTTAAAATAACTACGCCAATTATTTCTGTATAGAGCGTATTATTGGCCCTCGCTTAAATCTGATGGCCTTCTTTCCAAATTTAATCTTTTTAATCTTCCTGTGTAATACACGTTTTAGAAATGAAATCAGGAAATCTTTCTAAAAAATATGGCATATTATTGCGGCAATAAATTTTTCAACAAAACATAGGTACCTATATTCAAAAATTGGGTGGTAAAGGGAAACAACACACGGTTTTGTTTTAAAAAACTAAGGATTATTGAAAGCTATACGTCCGGAAAAGCTGCAACAGAGAGTAGAGGATAGAACTAACAGCTGTACCTAGATTTTGGGTGTTCTCATTTCGAATTGGTCTCTGATTTGGTAAAAAGCGTTCTAAAACGGCAATCTAGCTCGGCTGCGGTACTAAGGGTACCTGGTTCGAATCCGAGTTCGAACATAGATATTTGTAAATGTATAGTGGGTTATGGGGGGTAGCGCAGCCTTAGCTGAAACCCCTCCCACTCAAAAATAAAGGAATAAATAAATAAATCTATAGATGCGGCACCTATACAGAGGAAACAGAGGTTACAAAGTAAACATTTGGGATCATTGTGTGGTTTTGAAAAAACCAGGTGTCAAATTCTTGACAGAATAGCTTCCTAGGTGAAACCAAAAATTGCCAACATATGTACACACTGTTTTTATTAGAGGGACCTACCATCCAATTTCGTTAAAATTGCTCCTTAAATAAGAAAGTTGGATGTTGCACATGCGCAACACTATTTTTTGCGCATGCATTTTGTTTAATAATAATAATAATAATATGATTTATTGCCCAACAGAATCAAATTCCAATTATAGGACAATTACTAATCTAAGAAAGCACAATAACTAAATATACTAATGTCTTAACCGCTAACCTAATAAAAACCAAATTAAATGATATTAAACTTAAAGATTAAAAATAAGATTAAAAATATTCCATCAATCTTTTAAGATCAGATACTGAGCAAGTGTTAATGTCACACATATTAGCAATTTTGTTAAAGTTGCTTACCATAACAAATATAGGTGATTTACAAAGTAAGTTTGTATTGGCCTTAGCACAATTGAAAGTATATACATTACGAGCCGAAGAACGTGGCACATGGAACCGAATAAGGGAAAGAAGAGATGGACAATCTAGGTTATTGTGTAACAAATTGAAGAGAAAGTTAAGGCTTGACAGAGTTCTGCGAACTTCTAAGGAATGTACCTGAAATCGAGATAACAGTAGTTTATGATCAGTACCAATTGCGGGATAAACTCTGTCCAATTTAAACGATAAAAACTTCAGAAACTTACGCTGCACTGCTTCCAGGGTTGTTTTATGGCAGTCATAGTAAGGATACCAAATAAGAGAACCATACTCTAGTTTGGATCGCACATAAGCAGCATATAGAGATTTGATAGCAAAAATATTGGAAAAATCACGACAATTTCTGATAATAAAGCCAAGCATTTTTAAAGCAGAAGCAATAGTCACCGATATATGTTCCGAAAAGGAAAGTTTAAAATCAAATATAATACCCAAATCCGTGACCGATGTACACCGTTTAAACTGAATATCATTAAATTGATAAGGATGTAAAAGAGGTTGAGATTTTCTTGAAAATGAAACTACTTTGCATTTAGACATGTTTAAGTGAAGGTTGTTTTTTGAACACCATTGACCAAGTTTATTTATTTGTGTTTGGAGGTAAACGCAATCATCATTACTATAAATGGATGTAAAAATCTTTAAATCGTCAGCGAATAATAAGGTGTTACAGGAAAGTAGAGAAGGCAAATCATTTATGAAGATTAAGAACAGTAGGGGACCGAGGTTAGATCCTTGCGGAACTCCTGACGTAACCACAGCAGAGTCAGATATGTAATTCTTGTATTGCACACGTTGTAGTCTACCACTAAGGTATGATTCGAACAGTCGGAGAAGCGAAGTAGAGAAACCAATTTTGTCCAATTTGCTCAGCACCAAGCTGTGATCTACTTTGTCAAATGCTTTGAAGTCAGTATATGTATATTACATCCACTTGACCCTGATTATCCAATACTTTCGAAGCAAACTGTGTAAAGCAAGACAGATTTGAGATAGTTGAACGATTTTCCATAAAGCCATGCTGATCTGGAGAGATATAATTTCGAATTTGGGGATAGATTCGCGAATATAATATCGTTTCTAGTATTTTGGCAAAGTTAGAAAGTATACTAATTGGTCTGTAATTGCATATTATAGTTGGGTCATCATTTTTAAACACCGGGCAGATGCGAGCTTCCTTCCAACAGTTAGGGAACGCCGAAGTTTTAAGAGAAAGGTTAAATATTATGAGTAACGGATATATGAAGGCATCTGAAAATTCCTTGACAAGGCAACTGGGGATTTGATCGGGACCTGTAGTCATTTTAGATTTCAATTTAGACATAGAAGACATAATTTCTTCGGTTGATATGCTTGTAATATTAATAATAGGCATATTACTTACATTTGGGGTGCAAGAAGGTAGGTGCTCACCCAAGGGAGCATAGACACTGCAAAAATAATCCTTGAATGCGTTTACAATTGACTGAGGTGTATTAAAAGTACAATCATTAAGAAACATTTTACCTGGAATTCTAGAAGTACCCCTTTTATTGTGAAAGTATGACCAAAATCGTTTAGGATCTTTGCTGATTGAGTATTCAATACTGCTAACATAATTTTTATAGGATATAGAGGACATCATTTTAATCTTAGATCGAAGTCTTTTGAATTCAGCATACGCAAAGTTACTTTTAGAGTTCTTATATTTATTGAAAAAATAATTTTTAAGCTTGAGGTTCTGTATGATTTCCGTAGTAAACCAAGGTGGGTAAGATAACTTTTTGCTAGATCTAAATTTAGGGACATGTATATCAAAAATCGAATAAAGTACACTATAACAATTTGAACAGGCAACATTAACATCACTGCACTCGTTAAGGAAGTTCCAGTTTACATTTAAAAGATCGTGGTACAACTGCGATAAATTTGCTTTTGCAAAATTATACACTTTGCAAGACGCGTTGATGGGAAATATAGCCGAAGATTTATAGGTAAGTTGTAAAGTAAAATCCAAAGCAGGGTGGTATACATCTTCCTTAATTAAAGCGAAATCATCGTGCTCAACATGGCATAGACAGCTTGATAAAATAAGGTCAAGAGTTCTACCTTGCAAATTAACTACATTATTGTATTGGTCAGCATATAGGAAATGTAGGAAGTTTCGCATTGTTCTACATTTACTATCACTTGCATCAGCACTGTTGAATGACGGAATATTGAAATCGCTTACAATTACAAAATTATCACTACGTAAATATTCAAGTTGCTCAAGACATTCCATAAATAATTTAAAATCATGTAGAGAAATATTTGGTGGAACATAAACAACAAATATGTACAAAATTGTTGAACTAAATACACACCTACAACCTACAACATCTATGGCTGGAACCAAGCTCGTTATACCTGTCATGTCGATAATCTTAACATCAAAATGCGCCTTAGTAGCTAAAAGAACTCCACCACCCCATGATTGGTGCGTTACAGCATATTGTCGATCACACCTAAAGACATTAAATGTATCCGGAAACAGTTCCGCGCAATGGATATCACCTGTAAGGGCAGTTTCAACTAAGCATATAAAATCGAACGAACATGCACTAACACTAGAGTAAAATTCACTAATTTTAGAGCGCAAACCACGTACGTTTTGAAAATATATCTGAAAATCTTTAATTATGTTGGGCTTTTTTAGTTTAAATTTTTTGAAACAATTTTGGGGACACCATGTACATACCGAATTGTCAAATGCTGTTCACCACTTTTAATGCGTTCGTCAAGTTGTAGACGTAGATTTTGTAAAAATTTCCTTTGGAGGATTGTTTGGTCCGAAGAGATGCGATAAGTAGATTGTTTACTTTTTAGCATTTGATTAAGTTTTAATGCTCTCTTAGTGTCATTAGGGGACTTTAAGATAACTTTTAATGGGCGCGGCCTATTGCTAGTGGGCTTACCCAAACGAAAAGACTGAATCTGGATGGTATCAATATCCGCACTTTTAGCGAGAATGTTCCGAACTAAGATAATGTCGTCAGCTTTTCTTGTGTCAGGATCTGGAGATGCAGATTCCTCGGCGTTAAATATTATTATATTTGACGCCCGAGTGTTTCGCTCCATTGCCTCCTGAATGACTGTTTCCATATAGACAGCATCCTCCCGATTAGTATCGAGAGAGGACATCTTGATTTTCAGTTGATAATGGCTATATAGCCGAAACATTATATATATATATATATATATATATATATATATATATATATATATGTCGACAAATTTCTTCTGGTAGCAAAATAACGCACCGAAACAATGCCCGCTTTTTATTATTACATTACCTTACATTATTTCATATGTGTATTATTATATTAAATAAATATTTTAAAATCAAAATTATTATCTCGCCAATGGGTTAGTTAACAAGAGCAGAGTAAATCCAGCAAATTAATACACCAACTTTACCCAAACATGCCTCTTAACTTTTGTGAAATGCGATTTTGCTTCATTTTTTGTTAATTATTTTCTCGAGTAATAAAAAAGAATCTTTGTATTTGGTGTACTGAAATTACCAACAGATGGAGGGTTACCGTCCTGTAACACGAACACTTCGAAGAAATTATACTCTGCAACATGTTTTCTGGAAAAGGTGCTTAAAAACAACGAATTACTTTTATTAGAATAATAACTTTATTCAGTTGAACAAAAATGGCGTAGTCAGATAGAGAAACTGAATACCTAAAAGTAACGGAATATTCTTTCCATACAATTACAACTCGGCGTACATGCATACAATTTATATGTAAATTCTTGTAATTCTACTGTGCAACCCTCTATAAACTGTTATTTACACTTTATAAAGTATTTCAGTAGCGAAGCATGTTTTTAATTAAAAAATAAAACTAAAAATTCAATATAATACTTGTCAGCTCGATGCGCAATTATGCAACTTCGTTTCGAAGGTGAATAGGACATTCTTAGTGTATTTATTTTTTATCTACTTACGACGTTCTTTTCATGCATCCATTCCGACATGAAAATTATGCCGATCGAGTAAAACGCTATGTAACTAACGACACTGTTACAAATGACGCTCTTATCCTAAATTCACGTTTCGCCGCTAGCCTGGCACCAACCAGGACTATATCTCAAACGTCTCCGCGGGTGTCTAGCAATACAAATACACGTTTCATTAGGAGCATTGACGTCTTCATTACACCATTATCTCGCGGCGTTCGTGTAAATGTACAAATAGAATATATTACGAATTCGCATGAGCGATGAGAACCTTCACAGCACGTGGCAACTCGGCAAGGAAAAATTACTGCAATCTTATTGCTGCGTGTAGGGCTAATTTATACTACGAATGCTTAGAAATACATTTCCCACGGATACTCAACTTGTAAGGAAACTTCCGCAAAAAAGTGGCGCCCATAACTTTCGCATTTTGCTCCCTTGATGTAAATTGCGCCAAGTATAAAAAATATAGATACGTTAGTATTGCGCATGCTCATCTCGTACAAATTATGACGTCACGTTTGAGCAATATTAGATGTAGCTCTTTTTATGCTTGCTAGTAAAAAAACAATAAAGTACCGGACACCGGTGTATTGAAATGTTGACAACGGATCTATTTTCAACAAACGGTTCTGTCCATATACCACGTCGATCTCAAGACCTAACTCCATTAGATGATTTTCTTTTAGAGATACCTCATGAATCTGATGTATAGAAGGCGAAGTGAAAATCTTGAAAATGTTTGTCGTCGTGTTTAATAGTGCAAATATAGCAAATATGTTATGCTTTCGTTTTTGCACTTTTATGCTGGGCTTGCCACTAAATCGTCTTGCAGATGAACTTCCAGCAGTACTTAGAAAACTCTCTCAAGCTGTTTTTGTTTTTACATTTTCCAGTCGTACTATAAAATGTTCCAATGGTTAACAAACTTGCACTAATTTCTGTATGCCTCTCTTTTAGCACGTGTAAAATATGCTCACTTACAATTATTTGTAGTAGTTTTACTAACCAGACTCGATATTATCGATAGACCTCGATACATTATTATCGATGATCAAGCTCTATCGATAGATCGATTGCCACTAGACCATTATGACACAATTGAATCGTTATTAAGCTAAGTTCGCATTCCGAAATAATTGTGAGGAAGAGCCAATTTTTGCATGCATGGGGACGCGTTTGCAGTTTCCAAATGCGGCCCCGGTAGTAAGGAATGAAGTATGTACAGCAGAAATATTTATTTTGCGAGAATGATAATCGCATATTTAAGAATGTAGGGATAGCGCAGTTTTTTTCTTAAACTCAGAGAGAGATTAGCAGCTGAAGATGGGAATTATTACTTCATTAACACCTTTCAGATCACATTTTACTGTACGAGAACACCTTGTAAGCCGATTGACTGTCCGAGGGGTGAATTTTGTTTTTGTCCACAGTGGACGACTAATTGGAAAGCAAAAGAGGATTATATTTGTATTATATTCTATTTATTTCTCCTTTGTCTATCTTCTATTTTCGCTGCGAAGTTTGAGGACAAAGAAAAGTGTAATTAAATAATATTAAAGCTGATATCAATTTTACAAGTTTCATATACCAAATTTCACTTAGTAAAATTTAAACAATTATGCCACCGTTTGTAATTGAAAATTCTTTATACAAACTTACCGAAGACTGCTAAACTGAACCGATGCAAAGTAAGAAATTATTTTAGAGTTTTGCTGAAATTCGGTCTCTTATAATCGCGTTATTTCTTCAGACCTCAGTCGTATAAATAATTGTGACATTCTACGTAGGTAACTTTGATATTAATAAATTTTAGCAGCAGCTTGCGGGTCGGGCTTAATTTATGTATTCACTAACGTGTACTTGCATACCGCGCAGCAACGAATACCGCCCGTTAACCCTTGTATGTCTGTCCCTGCATTAGTGACATTCCTATGGATTGTTGTAATTACCGATTTAACCCGTTGAAAACAAATTCCGCTGTCATTGCTGGCGTAAATCGGAAATAATGTAAAACGAGGTGAGGGGAATTCTAATTTAAAAAAAAAAAGTTCAAATTTTCAACGACACAAAATTTAATTTTCTGTAAGGTTACACGCAATTGAGGATAATTTGAAAAAATAAAACGCGTACCTTTGCCTTAAAATTAGTCCACGGTGAAGCCCTGAAGGCATTTCTTATGATTATTTTTATCTCACGTTGTGCCACAAACAGCTGTTTAATAAATTGTATATACAAGGAATCTTAAGTTTCATCATATTACTGTCGGAGTAAAATAATAATAATAATAATAATAATAATAACCCCTGTGGGTTCGGGGATAGAATAGGCCCACTCTCGCCCTAGAGATCGTAAAAGGCGATCAATGGGCACTAAAGGTGGCAAATCCAACCACCTTTAGTACTTACCTACCCACTTTACTTTCCAACTCCCACGCCCATGTTCCCGACTCTCCTACATATACACAACACGCAGGTGGATATTTGCTTACGCGAATATCTTGAAGAGTGACGCCTTCACGTGTTCCTAGTCACCCCATATTCTCATGAAAATGGAGTTTAAACAAAGCCTCGGAAAAATGCCGCTACCTGAGGAGCGTCAGGGCACGTCTGGAGCTATCGCTGGGCGTTGCAGCATGCGAGCCGATAGTGACGAGTTGGTGATCAGGCGGCCGCTCGTCGGGATACCCGAAACCTTTACAGCCGAAAGAAGACCACGAAGACGACAACGACCACTTGAAGAGGACCACCAAGAAGAAACCTTTGTGCCTGCTTCTCAACCGCTTGTGGATGGGACCAGCGCAAAGGAAACCTCCAAAAGACGTATGAAATGGGACGAAGGGATGAATCGCTTCATTTTCGGTACGTATCTGGAGATCACGAAGTTGGAAACGGACAGGACAGCATACAGAGGTAAACTACATCACGCGTTCATTACACAATACCCACATTTAGCACACTTAACAGAACAACGCATTGCAGACCAACGTAGAGTTATCATTAAAAATACACTCCTTACATTACACACACAGGAACAAATCAGGCACGAAATTGAAGCACTACTCAACACAAACAACACACTCCCCGTACAAGATAATACATCCGTTCTAAACAACTCTGAAATACAGACATTTGCGACACTGCAGCCATCGATAGATACAAATACATACAAGGATTACACAATACATACAAGGAACTCGTTCTTCAAAACTAACACGACAAGTACAACACATAACTACAAAACTAAACAATCACACCACACGAGAACAAAATACAAACTATAACGAACATAGAGGTACACTGACA